ATAGGCATGGCACCGTATGAAGCTTTATATGGTAGAAAGTGTCGATGTCCCGTATAGTGGGATGAAGAATGAACAAGAATACTAGAGGGTTCGAATTGATACAAGAAACTCGTTGATAAAGTAAATGTGATTCGGAGCAAGTTAAAGATTGCACAAGATCGACAAAAGAGTTATATGGACCAACATAGACAAGATATGGAATACAATGTAGGGGATAAGGTTTTCCTTAGAGTTTCACCTTGAAAAGGGGTGTTACGGTTTGGTAAGAAAGGTAAATTAAGTCCTCGTTATATTAGACCATATGAAATAATGGAACGGATTGGTCCACTTGCATATATATTGGCTTTGCCCCAAGAGTTAGCGCAGCTACATGACGTCTTCCATGTAAGTATGTTAAGAAGATACCGATCCGATCCTTCATATGTGGTTCAAGCCGATGAAATAGAGGTATCCGACAACTTGAGTTATATGGAGGAACCAAGTACAAATTCTTGATCGAAAGTTAAGACAGCTTAAGGAAAAGAGAAATGCCTATGGTGAAGGTTTTATAGAGAAACCATGCTAAGGAAGAGGCAACTTGGGAGACCGAAGAATATATGCGCAACCATTATCCTCACTTGTTTTCCGATACGGGTAAAAGAATTTCGAGGATGAAATTCTTTTAAGGAGGGGAGAATTGTAATAACCTCGTCCCAAAAATATATATTGTTCATGCATACACGCATACTTAGGAATTACACGCATATAATTATACCTGCACATGACATGTTAGTGGGGTATTGGATAATAAGTATTTTGAATAATAGGAAGAATTAGGGGCTTAATTGAATGTAATCTAAGTTGGGGGACTATAATAAAAATAGGCCAAAACTTGAGGGACCAAAATAAACTTTGCCAAAATATCTTCACAACCTTATCAAGATTACTTACCTGATCATTATCTCTTCTTATCCCATCTGGTTTCCCATTTTAAGAGAGAGAAAGAGAGAAAAACCCATTTCTTTGTCAAATTCGGATGATCAAGCTGAAAATCTAGGTAAGTTCATCCCCGTTCTGTTTTGCACTCTTGATTTCGAGACTTTAGGGTCAGATATGGAACAAGTTGTAAGAATAAAAATTATTTTTTTGTGTCTTATCTAGCTCTCTGTGAAAGGGTTTTGTATTTAGTAATTTATATTTCAGGTTATGATGGTTTGAACACATATTGTTCTAGGTGATCCGATGCTCGGCAGATTAGTGTGCAAACTTTAAAAATATGGTATTCTTTGGGTGTTGAGTATTTCGACCTGATTTTTGGATATGTTTTATATTGATATGTCTAGTTCTTTTTTTAAAAAATAATTAGGTCTTGATCATGTCCCAATCTAGATTTATTGTTGTTTGTTTGGAGACTTGCTCGATAACAAGGGTGCTGGAAACTAGTTAGAGTTTAAAAATCTAGAATAAATCATGTATATGGAATATTGGGATGATTTTTGGATATGTTAGATCCTTTTGAATCTAATTTCATGTGAAACTAGAATTTTGTAATTTTACCTCGTATTTTAGGATTTATAGTACAAAGAGTGTGAACTATGAAGGAGTCAAGTACCTATAAAGAAATGGCAAGCAACTCGATTTTTAGAAAATCACCATGAGTTGTGTATTTCATACCTAGACTTGATTTTTGGATATGTTAGATCCATGTGAGTCTAGTTTCATATGAAACTAGAATTGCATCATTTAAATATGTATTTTGGGACTTATGGTAGAAAGCGTGAAAAGGGGTCAAGTACCCATAAAGAAATAAGTTAACCCTAAAGTCATATTTTGTACCTTGAGCATATTTAAAAGTTTGATCATGATAAAATGACTTAAAAAAGTATATGCGTATGTGTTTATAGACGTCGAGGAGCGTGAGGTGCAAGACGCGACGCATTGATAAACGACGAAGACGTCATTTTTGTGAGTTGAATAATAATAGTTGTGTTATGATGTGTTATTACTATTGAGTGCTAATATTATATTTATTGATATTGATATTATGATGTGAATGATGTGTCGTTTGCTAGTTGACGCAAACGTTGTGTTTATTGATGTTATAACAATATTATGTTTATTGCTATTGATACTTATGATGTGAATGATGTGTCGTTTTATAGTTGACGCAAACGTTATGTTTATTGATGTTATAATGGATAGGTACCATGGTGTAAGCTATGGATGTTGTATATGCTATATGTGAAACATTCATGATATATGCAAGACTAAGAGGTTAAAGTTATGACTGGCTTATCCAAGTTTCGCAAATACAAGTTTACAAGGACCCAACGGGTCAACTACAAGTTATAAAAGCTGGCCAATGAATACATGTGTACAAGTTTACAAGTTACAAGTACCGGGATGAAACTTGACATGTCCAAGTTATAACCGATAAGAAAAAGAAAAGCATGTAATCTTAGAGTCATATGAACTACCTGTATTGTTTATATGTGATGATACTTAGATGACGTGATTGCGATGTTATGGTTTTAATGGATTATTGTTCTCTCATTGAGTAGCATCTCATTAAAAATGCAATTATCTTTTTAGGTACTAAGAAGCGAAGTGAAAGTTAAAGTCATCTTTTGTTGTTCAATTCACGTCATGAGTGACGAGGTTGGTCAGTGATCTCCCTCTCCTCTCTCTCATTATGCCGAGCATATGCATCCTATAAGATTTTTAAATTATATATGTAACTATGTAAATATGAACTCCTGGAGGTGTTTTGAGACGTGTTTATGAACAAAGAAAAAGTGGTCTTGATCGAATATCCAAGGGTTATAAGTGGAAAGAATGTTGTTGATTAGGTTTTGAAGTGTTATGGCTGAAAAACCCTTGTTTTGGGCAGAAATGTACACGGGAAGGTACACGCCCATGTGGAAGGCCGTGTAACCTTCTATTTTCAAGGGAAAATGAGTTTTAAGTTACACGGGAAGTACACGACCGTGTTGGAGGCCGTGTAACTTGTTGCCAAAAAAACAAATTCTAATCTTTCTAATATGAGGTTTTAACGATCCTAAGTGATATTTTGTGATTAATTGAGCTTTCTAGAACTAAAATGGCTAAGTTATACGAAGTTTTTATAAGGAATTAGGTTAAGGACGCTACAAAGAGAATCTAAAGAAAAGCTCTTATATGATATTGGATTTTACTATCAATATCGAAGTTGTTCATCTTGTAAAGATGATCGATACAATCTTTTCAAATACTTATGATACTTGGTATAATCATTTTCCTCGAACTCTACCCAACTCTAAAAAATTAGACTCGGTCTACCAAGACTTTTTTATTATTTAACTAAAACTAGATATCAAGTATGAAGATTAAATTAAGAAAGTCTCAAAAATTCATTTATTCTCATTATATGGAACAAGTTTATGTGCATTAGTCATACTTAACTTTGCATTAGCTTTTGCTAGGATATGAGTATAGAATTTTCCTTCATCGATAGTTTTTTTTTTTTTTTTAATTTTTGTTTATCGTTAAAGTAACTAATCAATCGATAAAATGTTGCACACATGCATTAATGGGAAAATTACAAACTTCTTTCAATATACTATTGAATATTTTAGATAAATTGGTCATCATCACTCCATATTGTCAACTTTCATTGTATACTAATACCCATTTCTCTCGATAAATTTCTTCTAGCCATTTTCAAACCTAAAAGTTAGACTTTCCAACTCATTCATAATAGGATTAAACTTTAAAACAAAATACAGTTTTTTAAAAACTCAACACTCATTAAAAAACAATGTTTTACTAATACAACAAAACCCGGCAACAGGACCAAAATTGGCCTATTAGATACAAGTGTTACGTTTCCATGCCTTACATGCATGGGGGTGTATTGCATTCATTGGATGCGATCTTCATTGTTTTCCATCTCTTCTCCAATTGGGCCGAAGTGACAAAACTACAATTAAAAAAGAAATCCTTACTTTTAATTTAATCTTGATATTAATAATTCAAAATCAAAACCATTAAAATGCAATGGAAAAAACTAAAAAGGTCAATCCGTACACAATCAGGAAATTAAATCAAACCGCCTCAACTCGTACGCCGCCATTGTTCCTTATATATTGTGTACTGTCGACACAGAAAATTCTATTTATCATGTTTTATTTCGCTATTAGCATTACAAATCTCTGATTTTTTTTTTTTTTTGAACGATTCTTGCGTAGATACACGTTCTCTCTTTTTCTTCTTCTTCTTTCTTTGGAGTAACACATATTTTGTGCGCCTCTCCAAGATCGATCGGTTTAATTCTGGTTCTTGATCTTGCCTTGGGTATAATTTTTACATGATAATTACCAGCCTCAGTGCAATGGCAGTTTCCAAAGGTTCTGATCCAACACCGCCAAAGACTTTTTGGTACGTACTTGCGTGCGTTACATTAATTCTTCAATTGGTTCTTGCTATGATAATAACGGTGTATAATTCTTGAAAAGCGAGGGAAAAAAAACAGAAAACTAAAAACAACAACCACTACTACTACTCCAAGTGTTATTTATTATTATTATTTTTTTTGTTGATTATTTTGAATTTTTACTTAGCTGTCAAAATTAAATTAAGAAATTACTGGTTATTAGCAAGATGCACTACTACTACCATCCGACATGGCATAATTTGTTATACTACCATCTATATATATTTTGCCTTTTCTAGGGCACCATAATTTTGAATTAAGGATTGTTCATGGACATTATTTGTAGCTTTAACAAGATCCATAATGATTAATGTGTGTGGTCTAATTTGGGGAAAAAAATAATAGTACCAATAAGTAATTATTGTGCAAATTGCAACATAGAGGCTTATTGGTTTCTTGATCAACTTGTGCTCTTTAATTGTTAGTTTTTGTATGATAACTAAGTTGGTTTTATTTCAATTTGTGAGGATTCACTTATTTGTTGTTCATTATTAGGGCTAGTAAATGTAAAGGGTCGCTTACTCAATTTTTTAAGAAGAATAATGCGAATATGGAAGTGACTGAAAACAAACCAAATGTGGCCTCCAAAAAGAGATGCATTTGTGCACCACCAACGGCAACAAGCCGTGCTGGCTCATTCAGGTGCCATCTCCATCGAACTACGGAGCAAAAGTCAGAGGAAAACCACAGTGACAAGGATGGAAGTTGTGAAAATCTTGAGTTCGTGAAGATGACCATGCATCGCAAGTTATCCTACAACAAACCTCAGTTGTCAAGGTTTGGCAGGGCTGCTGCTTTTAGCTGTTAATAATGTTTCTAGCAATTCTAATTAAGTCTTTGGTCTCCACCCAAGTTGTAAATGAACCTTTTCTTTTCTTTTCTGACTCGAGTTAGGTGGGTTTTTTTTTTTTTTTTTTTGCTCTTAGCTGTTAATAATGTTTCTAGCAATTCTAATTAATATATTCGTATTGGTATTTCCCAACGACTACCTTTTTTTATTAGGCCATCATTGATTAATGGCAGAGCTCAACCATTTGGGGGTTGGGATATTAAAAATGCTACATCGAGAAACTAACAAATTATGCCTCGCATTTAGAGTTCTAATTGTACATGCATACCTTAAACACAGTGGATCAATTTCAGGGCATTATATATATATATATATATATATCCATTTTAAATAATTTAGGAATCACACACGCCCCCCTGACTCGTGCTGTCTCCACCAAGCTCTAATTTTAGCTTTGTGGATGTGCTTCTACCAGAGATGCTTAATGTAATGCAGCGTCTAGGGCCGAAAGGCTATGACAGAGTAACATCCTAGTTTCTCACAAACAAATTATTCATGGTACATCAGCTACAAACAAGTCCATTAAGGTAGATCTTTTTCAACTAATTATTTTTGCATAATCCTGTACATTATCACCCATCACAGCCCCACTCGTAATCAAACCCCAACATCTTCATACCAACTTCTCCTCAAGTCACAGCACTCATACCAACACAAATATACAAATTTTCTCGCCGTGTACTGATTTCAAGTCATTTCAGCCAAATTTAACCAATTTGGCACCACCTCAACTGCCAGGTCTCCAACTTTGAGACCGTCCACCCCTCATCAAAAAAGTTGTAGCCAAATTATCTACTTTATCATACATTAAAACAACCGCAAACTTAAACAAAGCCCAATGATCCTTATGCTAAGTTCTAAAACACACAGATCTCTAGTTTATTTCATCTTACAAAACCTCCACAAACTTTAATAATACTAAAACAGAGCCCAAAATTTAGTAACAAAACAGAGATCAATCAAACCACAAGGAATGAGAAACTATGAACAAACCCCCTAAAACCCTAACTTATAGCAAAAGAGAAGTAATAAAATAGAGAGAGAAAGTGAATGGAAAAGAAAAGAAAAGGTGTGCGTGCAATGCTTCTACGTCTTTCAGCTGCAATGGCGAACCCAAATGCAACCAGACTTAGAACCACCACTAGAAGGTGAACCAGAGTCGACCCTTTTCCTTCTCCCATCTTAAAAATACAAATTTTCTTTCTGTTTTTCTTTCTTTTCTTTCTTTGAGAGAGAAAAAGCGGAAGAGAAAGTGCTGTTCTGCGGCAAGTGAAGTGAGGACTTATTTTTTACGCAGCGGGAATGGAAAGATGTGAAAGGTTGTCGGAGAAATTAGGAAAATATTTTATACCTTTTTTTTAAGACTCACTCGACGCAATTTTTAAAGCGTTATCGCGTCAATTTCATATTGGATGGTGTTTGTCACGCGTCTTGGTTGTAATCTTGGCTAGGCCAAAGCACGCAGTTCGAAATCAATAGAGTTTTAGATTATTTAGAGTGATTAAAGAAGGAATAATGGAATTCTATGATTTTGTTTTTTTTTTTACCATCCCAATTTGCATATGGATGGGCTGTTTAAGAGTAAATTATAAATTAATTTTTTAAAAAAAATTTAAAAACTAATTAATTATTTTTTTGTTTATTTCAATTTTTTAAAAAATAAAATAAAATAAATATCAGATTGATGATAATTTTTTTATAAAATAATATTAAATTAAGTATAATTAATAGAGATCAATGAATGAATTAATTAATTTTTAAAATTAAGGATATTATTTAATTTGTTTATAAAATTAAAAGAATTAATTTATAATTGATTCTTTGTTTGATAGAAAGATTATTTGTGTTATTTTTTTATTTTTTAGGAAAAAACTCACTATTAAAATTTTTAATTAATACTGATGAATGAGTGAATTAATTAATATTTAAAATTAAGATAATTATTTAATTTGTTTTACAAAACTAAGAGAATTAATTTATAATTTATTCGTTATTTGATAGATAGACTATTTGTGTTATCTTTCTTCTATTCTTAAGAAAAACTCACTTGTAAAATTTTGTGTGTTGGTTTTGATTTCAATACTTGGTTGTTTGTGTTTCTGCAGAGTTAGGGAATTCTCGTCAATCCGACATCACATTAGATGTAGCAGTAAGAATATTAGATTTGCGATTATTACGAAAAGAAGGAACAAAACAAAAGAAAAAAGGAAGCTAAACATTCTCGCCAATAGCGATAGCTAGTCTAGAATAATATGTTAATAATTATTATAACAATAAAACTAATTCATTTGTAAAACTCATTTCAATCATTCCCCTCTTTCTATGTCAATTAATTCCAAGAAAGAAAGCGTATGTATTGAAAATTCACAATTTGTAATCCTAATAATCCAATTATGTAAATAGTTACTAATGATACTTTTAGCTGCTTATTAGATGACCTAAATTAAAATAGAATATATTTAAAATTTGTGTTTTCTGTTATAATTCACGGGTATAATTCGTTTTCGTGTAATTTTTATATGGTTCAGTTTATTTACAAAACGAAAAGTCAAATATAGAATATGCAATTTTAGTCTTGTTATTTCCTTTAAAAATTTTTACTGCTAGTACAATTTATGTAAGATATCGTGTCATATCAAAATTTATTCTGTACTTGAGTCCAATAAATTAGATACAAAACTTAAGAAAAGTTTATTAAATTCTTAAAACAGACATATTAGTTAATCTCATTTAAAAACCCAATAAACTAAATCTATTCAAAAATAAAAAATAAAAAAACTTATTATCAATTAAGTTCAATACGCATATCAGGCCCAGTATGTATATGAGGAGTCGAGTTGATTACTTCAAGTTTAAGCACCGGAGATTTCTCCCAAAATAATGGAAGGTAGACTTTTGTAATAATAATTATATATATTAAAATAATTAAAGAACATAATTTGTGATATTTATAAAATAAAACTTAATATATATATATATATAAGTAAAATAATTGGGTCGATGATGGATTGGATGGACTCCCACCCGCCTTGCATCCGACTCCAATAAAAATCAAGTAGGGTTTTCATCCGAATCCATTTGACTCCTGTCAATAAAAACTCATTCTAATCGGATTGGATAATATTTAGTATTCGATAAGTCAAGTGAAATTACAATCAAGCTGGGTGCCCGCTGGACCTGCTCAGTCCAAGGTTTCTTTACGTGATTTGGATTGTAAATTTAGATCTGAGGACCCGACCATGCCTCACTAAGACCTTAATACACTCTAGCTGTTAAAACTCAAAACTTGGTCCCAGGCTCCCTGGTCGAAGTTTATTTTGTAATTAGGGCCTAAATACCAAGCCCAAATTTAGTCTAGAGCCAATATTGAGCCCACATTCATTTCTTCATTTTAGTTTATTAAAAGCTGGTCAAAATTCAGAGAGAATTGTAAACCTTGCGCCCAATTTTCCAAATCTCAATAGAGGTTTCAACACCGTCTTCAATCCATTAAAATGTTGGAGAAGTTGTTCTAATTGAATTGTTATTTGGCTCGAAGAACCTAAGCAATATAAAATAAATTTGTAACCGATCTTTCTAGTTTGCTTAAATGAACATGAAAATTTATTCAGAGATTGATCAAATTACATGATGCTGGTCACCATTCACATCAGGCCTTTGCCAGAATGGAAGTAACAGTAAAAATCGCAATTCACAACCTTAGACTTCAGGTCGATAACAATAACTATTCTTCCGTAAAATTTGAACGATGAACGAACCAAGCATGTAGAGCTAATCAAGTCTATCTCTTTATTCATTTGGTATCTTGTCAATACCCTTCAAGTTCCAAATATCATCATCCCAGACAACATCACTAAACATTTCTGTACAAGCGTCACCCATATAATCCAGATCCCAAAATGGCAACCAAATGGACCCCCATGACATTTGCTCATCCACAGTACTACCCCTAAACCATGGCCACTGATCCACCCAACTTTGTAAATTCTCCATCACCGCCTCACTTGATTCACCACCTGTAATATTCTTCCTCTCCTCTTCCACCTTCTCAACTGCAGTCCTCTTGCCCTTCTTTTTCGCCACTGTACTCGTCCTTGTTTTCGTTGTTGTGGTTGTTGTTTTACCTTCAGCCTTTATTGGTCTCCCATTGCTACCATGATCAGCATTTATTTGCCTCTTCATTTTTTTTGCTGCAATAATATTGTTGTGCTTTCAAGAAGAATGAAGGTATAATTAATGGGATAGCTAAGGAAGAAGTGAAGCAGAAGTTAGGCTGTAGTATTTATAGGGAAAGGGGGACTTGGCTACTAGAAAAAGTTCATTTTTGAACTTGGACATGCATATTGGTGTTGAGATCGCAGGCTGTGGATTTTGGTGGTCAAATATTCACATCCCACTTTCTTGTCCTTTGTACAAGAGATGTCGACAAATGCTTCACTAGAGCTGGAAGGGTAAATTGTTGACACGAAGGTAGTTTTGTCAATTTGGACCTGTATCCTGTATATGGCTCAGTTCAATGAATTTTCAGGGATCTAGATACAGCTTGGTTAAACTAAGATCTTGAACGACCCATTTAGATATTGCCACGTTTTGTGGGCACAACGGGCTTTTCAGCAACGTTTGGGATGCGCAAGACTACGGCTGAGGGAAGAAACGAAGAATGAGATAACAGTTAGGCTAATCTCTAAAGACGTTTCACAGTGATTGACAATTTCAAAGTCTCAAAACTGCGGCTGTGTATGGCATATCGTCACCAGATGCTTTAAAGTTTCAAAACTTTTTAGCACCACTTGTTTTTCCCAAGGGCTGCAGAGGTAGTTGAACGAATGGGGTTGTGTGTAAAGGAATAGGCCACCTGTGATAACTAGGCGTGCATGCTTTCTTTGTATTGGCCTCAGATCCAGCTCAGTTCATGACACACTTACCCAACACAGCCTCTTCGACCGTGATGTGTGTATGTATATATATATATATATATATATATATATATGAACGATGATACCTCTTTTCTAGGTGAGCTTTCTTTTAATTGACCGATACATTATTTCATGGAAAGCTGCGAAAGCGAACCAGCATTTGAATGGAGCAAGAAACAAAAACTTACAAAAGCAAAGCAATATTACACGTGGAAACAAATTGAATCAGAACTCATTATTAGATATGTTCGGTTGTTTCTTTTCTTTTCTTTTCTTTTCTTTTTTCCTAAAAAGAATTAAGATTTTGTAAATTATCGTCACTTGTCCATTCAATGTTATCAAACCCAACGCAAACAGCAAACCGATAAAGGTCGGTTCATTGATTCTTTGGTTGAATCGAAAGTTCATCGATTTAACGAACATTTCATCGCTAATTTTTATACTTCTTTTGTATTAAAAAGATAATTCCTTTCGATTTTTTATATAATTTTAAAAATTATTAACTGTAACACTACACCAGTATATTTTGTTTATATTTTTTTATATTCTTTTTAAAAAAATTATTAGTTGTCGAATTCAATTTTGCATTAAATGAAATCAATATTAATTTTAAAAAAATCTATTCAAAATTAAAATGATAAATAAAAAAATCATTAAGTTAATTAACTATTAAGTTTAAAATAATTATGAAAAAATAAAAAATTAATAAAAATATTTTACTCTAAAAATTTTGGCATGCAACAAAGTTTCTACAAAAATAAATATCTTTCATGTAATAAAAAATCTCTTTAAATTTTTTATGTTAAATGTATTTGTATATATAAGAAAAAATATAAAAAAAATATTGATTTTTTGTTAGTAAATAACACAAAATAGAAAAAAAATAATTTTCTTTATCAACTAATAGTATTTTAAGATGGATATTATTTTAAATTTTCACCGAGATAAGTATTTTAAGACGTATAAAAAAATAAAAAGGGATCATTTTTTTTAAGATACATAGAGTATTTTTTATTTTTTTATAATTATATATAGATACCTTTCCTTTGATGTACTAATAAAAAGAATATCATTACAAAAACAGATAACATTTTTCTCATTTCATGTTAGTGTTATAAATATTTAAAGGTAAAGGACTTCTAGTTTATGAATCATTAAATTTACTCCAAAGATCTTTTTTTATTTATATAACAAGCAAATTACTTATATCTAGCAAATTTTTAGGTATTATATGGTGTTTCACACAATTTTTATTTATGTAAATTTATTATACATTTTTTTAGAGTTGTTTTTACGCCGGTCTTGACGTTTAACTCAACATCATCGAGTTTGTCATCGGCCATGTATTTTTTGACCTCTCATAAATTTTCGAAAAAACTTATTTATGCAAAAATTCTAGATAAACACTATAAAAATTTTGAGAAATAGCGACTAATTAAAAAAAAATCCAATTTGTCGTTAAAGCGACGGTCGTTATTTTTTTTAGCCACTAAATTTTTTTCCATCGCTATTTTGTTGATATTCCGTCACTAAGTAGTTCTAAATTAGTCGTTTGCTGATGTCTCGTATCCATCAATAACTCGTCACTATTTCTACTTATTTTCATCACTATTTCTAAACAAAGACGGATTGTGAGGTCCTATTTTTTAATCGCTAATATCCTTGTAATTTCGTTGTTATTTCCATCACTATTTAGTGACGGAGTATCATCCGTCATTAATTTTCATCTCTATTATGTCACTAATTTTTTTATTATTTTTTTAAAATGAATTACCATTTATTGGTAATTGTAACAACAAATAAATATAAATATAAATTTATTAAAATACACTATATTATTAAATAAAATTAAAATTGTATTAATTTAAATAAAATAAATATATAAATGTATTAAGATATACGAAATATTAAAAAAATAAAAATAAGAAATTTAGTCCTTATTATTATCGTTTTCTTCATCATCTTTCGATTGCTTGGTCGTTGAAAGGAACGATTGATTGTTGGGTTGTGAAAGGGTCGGCGGGAGGGACGGGAGTCGGATAGAGGTTCTCCAACAATTACAAACTCTCTACAACTGATTTTGCATGCTTTCAACTTTTATTGGCTCGTTCGTTGGATGGTATCATCCATCTTCTTGATCCGATCTTCGTTTTGGGCATAAACCTCTTATGTATTTACACCGGGATACTGAAAAAGTGACAAAGAAAGAGTCTGGTGCGAGAATGCAAATAAGATTAGGACGCATAAGTTTTGATGCCGTACACTTTTTACTTTTTCTCCCATCTAATAACATTCAAATATATGTTGAATATGTCAAATTAATTTAATTAATTTTAATTCTAATCAAACTAAATTTAAAAGACTAATTGAATAAACTTAAGTCACAATAATTTTACATTTAATTAACAAAATTATAATTAATTGAAAATTTTATTCTAATCTAATTAACTAAAAATAATTTAAATTAACTTAATTAATTCCAATTCTAACCAAATTAAATTTAAAATAACAATTAAATTAACTTAATTAACAAAACATTTACATTTAATTAAGGGTTTTGCAAATATCAAGACCACTGTACAGTTTGATTTTTTTTATTGAGATCCTAAGTTTTTTTTATTCAATTTAAGAGTTTTACTTTTATATTATGGTTATTTCGAGACCCTAATATACCATGTAAGCACACATGATAAGCTCTATCCAATGACATCTTACTACGTGTCATGGTGGGTTCAAATTGGATGTTTAAATTTATGATGTGGCAAGTTGTCATTGGTCGAGTACACACATGATAAGTTGTCATTGGCTAGGATCCGAAACAATAATAACATAAGAGTAGAACTCTTAAATTAGATATATATATATATATATATATATAAAGAAATCTGAATTGTATGGGTCTCAACATATGTAAAATCCATATTTTAATTAATAAAATTATAATTAATTGAAAATTTTATTCTAATCCAACCAATTAAATAAATTTAACATAATTAATTAATTAACTAAATATAATTCAAATTAACTGAATTAATTTAAAATAAAAATTAAATTAACTTAATTAACAATAATTTTACATTTAATTAACAAAATTACAATTAATTAAAAAATTTATTCTAATCCAACCAATTACACATAATTAATTAATTAACTAAACATAATTCTAATTAACTTAATTAATTCTCATTCTAACCAAATTAAATTTAAAATAACAATTAAAGTAACTTAATTAACAATAATTTTACGTTTAATTAAAAAATTATAATTAATTAAAAAATTTATTCTAATCCAACCAAATTAAAAACAAAATAACAATTAAATTAACTTAATTAACAACAATTGTATGGCTCCCTAATATTTCTCTTTTCTTTTTAATTAGAGCATGTAGTTCATACTAGTTGCTTCAAGTTTGTGTTTTCCAACAACGAAGGTGCTTCATGACAAACAACCATGAAACTAGTCATATGATAAGAGAAGTGTGCTTATACTCTTTATTTTATTTTATTTTATTTTATTTTACGTGCTGCAACTCGGCAAGAAAAACAAGAATAAAGCTGGCAAAGAGATTGAAAGGATGAGATGAAAAAAAAAAAAAGAACGTTTAAGATGAGACTAAAGAGTTTTTAAAGACAACCCTTGCTAGAAGTTATAAGAAGGGACCGGTTTGTCTATCGGGAAGGGGCGCTTTCATTTGGAGAGAGCAAAAAAAAAGGTTTAAGAAAAGCTGAGACATAGAGAAAGAGGGAACATATTTGGTTATTGAATTCAAGTCTCTATTGTTGTTCTTTTTCACTTATATTTACGACGGTATGGCTCCCTATTATTCTTCTTTTATTGTTAATTAAAGCATGTAGTTCATACTAGGTGCTTTTAGCATGTTAATTTTTTTAGCCAATATCTTGATAGTATATTGATTAAAAATTATTTAATATAAGGGGGGATAATCCTAGCGACTTAACATACTTGGGAGGGCAAAGCGACCTAGGCCTTAAAAGATTATCGAACAATAATCCTGCAATCTATGAACTCTTAAATAAGGAATGATTCCATATACCTAAAAGAGACTAAACCAACTAGCTACTTGCTAAGTAGTTTCTCAATGTTAAGTTATCGAAAGGTTATTATTCTTGTCTAAGGGTCAAAATCATGTTTTATAGATGTTTACATCTCATGTTCACGAGTTGTATTATTTATAACATAATAGGTTGATGTTTTGGGAGAGGCTTTGAGTTGGATTTTACACGTTTTATTGTCTTTCTAGTGTTTAGAATTATGAGGAACCATGTCTATGAAAGGGTGATGAAGAAAAGCTGAACAAAAAAAAAAAAAGGAAAAGAAAGAGGAGGGAAGACCACTTGTCTGTTAAGAGGGGTGATGAAGAAGATCGAATAAAAAAAAAAAAGAAAGGAGGGGATGGAGTCTATTTGTGAGACGTTTTATTTTAAAAAGAAATCATTGCTATTAAAAAGGAAAAAAAAAAAAAGAGAAGGAGACATATGTTGTCTGCAGACGAGAGATGAGGAAGAGAAATCGAAAAAAAAAAAAAAGTAGCAAATAGGGGTTTGTTGATGGTTGAACCTAAAATAAAGAAAAAAGAAAATGCGAGACGGAGTAGAAAACAATCTATTTGGTAGTTGAAAAAAAAAAAGGTTGAGAGAGAGAAAGAAAAATAATAAAAACCAAACAACGAAATGAGGAAAGGAAAAGAAAGAAAGAAAGAAAAGAGATGATAAAGATGGTAAAAGAGAAAAGAAAAAAAGAGGAAAAAATATATATATTTTAACAATTTATAAACAAAGCTCTAGAATGAGAAATTCACAATACATAACCTAGGAGTCCTAACTGTGCATATGTTTTCTAACAAGAGACTTGCACAACTAGAAGGAGTCATTGAGTGATAAGTAACTCCTGAAGAAAGAAAAGAGGTATAAAAAAAACAAGAAAATCTTCAATACGATTGGCTTCTCAATAAATGTGTGAAATGCGAACAAGCTATAGTTTTAGAAAGAGTTTACGAATGGTAGAAACCAACTGACTACAATCTTCTTGGTTGCTACCTTGGAAAGTCAAAAAGTGAATAGCCAATTTTGTAATATACTTGGACCTAAAAACCTCCTCAAATGTATATATGTGTGTATAAACAAATTGATTAATTAATACATGGATATTTATTTAATATGTGAATTAATATTTTATGCTTACTTAAAAAATAAATTAGGGCATGCATAAATATTATGGAAGGTGAATGAATTATATAGTACTTGAACTAGTGAGTTTATGATATTAATTGTTGTGGTTGTAATAACTTAGGAGTGTAATTGCAAAACCTTAATTAGGGGTTTACTCATAATAGCTAAAAGTTTGGGTACTTAGTTGAAATGATTAGGAAACTTAAGTGACCAATGTAAAACTTATAAAAGCCTGGGTTAAGGGCTTGATTGTGAAAAAATGAAAGTTTAAGAACTGAAATTGAAGGATTCGATTGTACTAGTTAAAAAGTTTAGTGATCAAAATGTAAACTCTTGGTAAATTAAGGAACCAATTAATTCAGTTGGAATTGGTCATTTCCAACCAGAATTAGACTGAAAAATGAAGAGAAAGATGGCCAATTAATCCGGCCACGTGAGAAAAATAAAAGGAAGCATACGACGTTTTCAAAAAACGAAAAACAAAAAAAAAAGACATTTCGGTTAGTGAAAAGTCACAATTTTCTTGATTTTCTTTCCAATAGTTATTTCTTTATAGCTTTTTTCCATATTAAAATACCCTAAAATTATCTTAAAGACTCCAATAAATCTATGTCAAACCTCAAGTATCATTTTAATGCTCTTTTAAACAACAAATATCAATTCAATTTTTAATATTCATTTGTACAATGTACTTCATATCTCATTTAAGGTTTCTAAGCACCTCTAATCAATTTGGGAGAGTAATATCCGTCAAGTGGAGAGGCGACAACGGCTATAATGGATGGTGGAAACTGGTTTTTGGACCACTTTCTCTCTCTCTTTTTTCCACTCAAAATTAAACTCCTCTCTCTAACCATGAATCTTTTTATAAATTTGCCAATTTATGTAAAAAGTTCGAAAGCGACTATGGTAAAAAAGAGAACCAAAGTAAAAATTGAATCAGAATGATGTCGTTTTATTGCACTCTTTATGCTAAAACTATTGAGAGAGTTACTGTTCAAAATGAACGGTATAAATCCTCCTCAATCCTTTTTTTATTTTTATTATTATTATAATCATTCCATTGCTGCTCAGGATCGTCTCTTCTCTTAGGTTTAATCAGCCCATACCATAATTAATTACTAAATAATTTTCTTCTTTTGAGTTTAAATTTTTATCGTTCCTCTTTCTTTCTTTATTTTATTTACGGGATGAGAAGTTTTTCTTGAATCTAGAATTTGCACGCTCCTAAATGTTAACGGTTAGATTCCACTGGGCAGCTGCCGCTGGCATCAATGAGTCACATTGGCCTTGGAACTGGAAAGTCCAATTAAACAACTGCTGCTATCCAGACCAAAGAAGAAATTTTATAATGTTCAAGAAATAATTAATATAAAATTATGAAAATCTTTTTATTAATTTTAATGTGATTTTTTTTTTATGTATCAATCTCTCTTCTAAAAAATAAATTTAAAGAGTAATTAATGTATATGTATATTAGTTATTTCTTTAGTAGTATAAAATTTATTTTTCATTCATTAACTTCTTTTGTTTTTTAATTCAATTTTCAGTCGTAATATAATAAACTAAGAACGATTATCATCAGCAAAGATTTTTATTTTTTATTTAAATCCAAAATGGAAAAGCATAGATAGATCCTGCATTTTACTACATTGCTGCAGCTAAAAGAGTATTTCAATTTATTCTGCAGTTTTCACTACAAACAGGAAGTGAATCTCTGAGAGTTTTACTCCATGAAAACAAAAGAAGGGGGTAAAAAAGGTTTGAAGTTTTGTGTTCAAAAAGGCCATTTTTCTAAAAAAGAAAATGGAGAAGCGCTTTTTCAATCCTCTAACTTAAAACATTGTTTTGGACAATATGTAGTGAATGTTTTCAAGTTTTTCTTCCCTCCAAATGCAAATTAGACAACATGCTTCTCCACTTTTTTTTTTTTTTTTTCCCATAATTTTAACCAGCTTATTTGACAAATATGTCATCTTGAACTCAACAAAGTTCGCAAATGAAAAAATTCTCCACGACCAAAAGAAGCCATATGACGGCTCATATGTCCGCTGCCACACAGACAAAAAATTGATGTCCTCAGGAGCTCCTTTATTCTTCTTGGACTCCCTTTAGGATTTTTTCCCTTTCGCAAGTGCTGAATAAGAGTACATTATAAATTAGTCCTATAGTTTCTTAAAAAAAATTAAATAATTTCCCTAGTTTTAATAACTAATTAATTAGTTTCTATATTTTTAGATATATTTATAACTTAATTATTTTTTTATTATCAATAAATAGAAAAAAGTTAAAAAATAGGAAAAGATTGATGAAAAAAGAAATATTTTTTAATAAATTAATATTAAATTAATCACGATCAATATCAAAAAACTAATTTATTAATTTTTAAAACAAAAGAGATTATTTAATTTATTTTACAAAATTAAAAAAATTAATTTATAATTTATTCTTTCAATCATTGGAAAAATGACTTGGCATTTATTTTGTGAAAACCCTATTCCAAAATTTGTCAGTGGATTAGATCATTGAAAGGCATGGCAAAATTCAAATAATTCAGCAATTAAGCGAATTGGACACGTTGATCACTGCAATTTCAAGGGATTGGTATTGCTTTCATGTCTACAGAAACGGGTCAACATAGGTACCAAAAATCTCTGCCCAAATCCAAATATTTCAGACCAAGCTCATTCAACCATTAGTTTGAAGAAAAAATCTGACCCTTGTACTAGGATTCCCACGCCTAAAGCTTATTTTCTGGACAGACGTCGCAGACCATACAATTTTAACGATGAAAACTATTTTCCCTACTCTGGCTTTTGTCATGCACACAGACAGCCATCATGTGGATTCCTTCAACTTTTTCGTTCTAAAGATGCGGTTTTCACAAAGCAAGATCTTAGCGTTCATCATGGACGATATTAAAAAAAAAAAAGCGCAAATCGGCAAAAGCCTACTGCTCGGGGCCCCATTTTAGAACATATTGGCGTAATTCACAGGCGAATATCATTACATCATCTCAAAACATTGCTTTAAGAGGTTCGATTCAAAAGGAAACGAAAGCTAAAAAAAAATTGAAAATAACAAACTGACAACACAGAATCGTACAAATGGAGATTAACATTGTAATCTGCAAACTAATAACTTCAAACACTCGATGCACAACTTGATTCTGTACAAATTTCCTTTTAGATAATCCGGGCATTGAAATACAAGGATGCAAACAAAAAAGAAAAACCTTCCGATTCTCGCTTAGAGACTCATAATAATACAGAGACGGGATTTTACACAATCAACTTACGACCTTTTACCTAAGCAACAAAATCTAAAACACCCCTCGTTATTTATGTCGACTCATTTTACTTACAAAGATGCATCATATTTTTTACATACAAAAGAACCCTTTAAACATTATTTACATCAGCAAAAGGTTCGCTCAGTTTCCCTCTCATGAGAATTCTAAAATTCCTCTCATAACTACGTACTAAAGTGATATCTGTTTGATCTCTTCTTTTTTAACTATGTACTTTCTGGAAAAACTGGGGTCTAAGCCAAAGCAGGAATGCTGCAATTTCGACGATCCCTGTCAAGACAATCAAACCCCTCAATTCTCACCACTGGTTTGTTTCCAAAATTCACCCGAACCAATCCTCCTTTCCTTGGAGATGATGATGATAAATCCATAGGTGGTGGAATAGTCGTGACTGGTGAGAGGGGTGAGAATTTTTCATCCCCAAACTTAGCATCTTGAATTAATGGGTTAGCTACTCTGCTAGGCGGCGACCCACAAAAAAATGGAGGCGGCGACAAGGCTACTTGCGTGCAAAAAGATTGATTATCGACACCATAACCACCCTAAAAAAGCAAAAAACAAATTATTATCCAAAAAAATGAAACAAGAAAAGAAACATAAGCACCGACAAGCTTAATGGATGGTCCAAAAACAAGCTGCAATAAATTTATTTTCCTTTACGGTTAAAATGTTGCCTGGCATATGGAACATCTTCAGATTTTGTTAACCTCTTAATTAAAAAATCAAGAAATTTATAATTATAAAATAAATAAAATAAAACAGGGGGAAAAATAGAATTATTACCTTGGTGAGGATGATGTCCAAAAAATCAGTCCCTGCCTTTGGATCACAAAGCTCTGATTGCTGACTGAAAATTCATAAATTTTAATTTAGTTCGAGTGTTTCATGAAAAGAATAGTAGGCAAAAATTTTAAGGAAAAATTACCTGAGCTGAAATCTGAGAGACCTGGCACGGTGGTCGTTTAACAGGCCGAGGCGTCTGGGTTTAGGGCAATACACCGGGTCTCTCCTATCCGATGTTGGAACTGAAACGGAGCTCCGAATCTCTTCCCGGGTTGGAAAGGCGTTTTGTTGGATCGCACAGTAGTTCATCTTTGCGGTGTTTTTTTTTTCCTTTTTTTTTTTTTTCTATGAACAAAAGTCCTGTATATAAAGGCAGCAAAAAAAATTCGAGACTTTAAAGTTTAATTACATAAATCAGTAACAGATCTCCCAAAAAAATTTCATAAAAAAAAAAGCATAAGACAACCAGCTGCCAGCTTCACATGCTTGGCTAAAAATCGTAAACAGATATTCAACAAATATTTCCAGAATTTACGATCTAAAAAATCGAGATCTTCTCATAAATTTTTTTTTAAAAAAAAAACAGAGCTTTTATGGGAGATCTAATCCGAAATAATTGTGGATCTATCAATTTCCAAAAAGAAAAAAAGAAAGGAAAAGAAAAGAAAAGATGGAAATTCAAGAGAGGGAGAGGTAGTTAGCTAATAGGCATATTACCTTTGGCTGCTTAAAGCATTAACTGTACAACTCCAGCTTATAGGAAAAAAAAAAAAAGTATACAAGACTGCCTCAACTTCGTAAAGTGTTGTAGCTAAGCTATATTATGAACAAAAATGGAAAGAAAACGAGAAAAAGAAAACGTAGAAGAGATATATAGAGGGTAGTTGCTTTGGGGCTATAGAGAAAACAAAGAAGGCTAAGACGGTCGTTCTGTTTGATTTATAGATAGGAGAGGACCAGCGTGTTTCTGGAAAAAAAAATAATAATAAAATAAAGAAGAGAGAGAGAAAGAGAGACAAGAGAATCAAAGCAAAAATCAATTTACAGCGAGAGAGAGAGAGAGAAAAGTCGTTTTGGTATTGGACAGCAGCACTAATAAGAAACGAATTAAAATGATAAATAAATAAAAAGCTGGGGCATGGGGAAGGGAAGCTGCAAGAGCCACATCGCACCAGCAATAACTACTGCCCTTTTCGTTTGAGTCAGCCTACCTCTATTTTTATGGTACTAATTGGTTAGAAAACAATTCATATCGGTTCCAAGAATATCAGATTTCTTAATTTCATCCTTAAATATAATAATTACCTTTTTTAAAAAAATGGAGTCTGAATTTATGTACGATTCTGCTATTTAATCATATCATTATTGATGCAATTTATTGTATTCCATTGCTCAATGCTGATTACCATTGAAATTAGTTAAAAAATAATTCAAAAAATTTAATTTGTTATAACATCCTATAACTAAAAGAGTTTAGTCGCATATACAAATATATCATAAAAATATTCATTCGAACTTATAGAAATTATTTTTTTTTACTTAATCAATCCTTTAATATTTTCAAAACTTACATGATAGTTTATATTTTCAGAACTACATTATTTATATTTATCAACATGGTAGTTTATATAAAGATTTAAAATGATTTGTATATATATATATCTTGACTAGATATGGTTTTTGTGGGGTTAAAGCTGATCTCATGGTAGTATTGGGTGTCTAAGTGATGCTGTGCCAATATGTTTAGGACTAGATTGAAAAGTATTTGGGATTATGAATGAAACACGAAACCTGTTATATATTAAGGATTAAATTGAGATCTTACCTTTGATTTTTCTCTGTCCACTTTTAACTTTTTTCCTGCATAATATTTTAATGTTCACGCAGGCGGTGCCTCCCTCGTCGAAAAACCTCATCGTTTTTAGCACCCCTCGTTTAAAATAATATTATTTGGTAAAAATATCTCTGAATATTTATCAGAATGGGAAGTAAACAAACCGTTCAAACCGATGGAAGCCACAGCGGTTGCCTTGTCAGAAGGAGAATCGCTATCAAGCAAAGAAACGTGGCAGCTTAATACCGGGTGTCAGGGACGTGGTAGGCATGCCTGCATGTGCATGTAATTTGTTTCAGCTCTAATTTCTTTTTTCATTTTCTATTTTTTGGTTTTGAGAACATATGCACAGAAAGCATGCAAGATTTTTTTATTCTTTGGGAATATAAAGCATGCAAGTTGAGCAAGGATCACATGAGCTTTCATACGGTTAAATTAATTTTATAAACAACTGCAATGATAATTAGTGTTTTGTACTGAAAAATTTTGGGAATAATTTTAGTTAAATAAATGGATTTTCAGTAATAATTTTGGGAATATATATAAATTTGAGTGTCGCTTTTAATTTATAGAATCTTACATTTAAATTAGTCACATACCCATATCTTAGTGCTAGTGTACCAGCTTAATTAAATAAATATATTTGTTTTAGCATATTGGTGGATTTTATCATTTGTTGGAAGAGAAAGTACGCACCTGTATGCTGAATTTGTTTCTTAAAGATTTGTAATATATTAATGAAAATAAAATACGCACCATAAATATGATATTTGAACAGGATAATTATATAACACCAATCTAATTTTAAATTTTAGACACAATAATACTTTCACAAACAAGCCGTACAGGGAAGGAAAAAAATCAAGTAATTACAGTATAAAAACACAAACTAAACAAATAAGGTTAGAGGTTTTTCTAAAAAAAAAAAAAAAAAAAACACTCTTGTGCTCCAAATATAAGAAAACTGTGTGATATTATATTTAAATTAATAACATTCCAAATAAATAGTGTGCAGCTTGTTGAGACTTAGATGTGACTAGTTGGTATCTACCCTCCCCTACGGCTAGGCTAAACCATGTGAAATCATATAATTTAATAATTTTTTAATTAAATTTTTATATTAAATTTATTTTTTAATGTTATTTTATAAATTTTGTAGTGAAAAAAAACATGATGTGTTTTTCTTTATACTTCGATTCATAAATCTTCTTCATAAAATTTTACAATAATTTAAAAAGAAACTTTAATCCATTTTTTTTAAAAAAAAACCTTAATAATTTTTTTTATAAGATTGCATAGAAAAATAAAGCAAAAATTGATATAAAAATTTATATAAAAATTAACCAATGAATTTTTTTTTTAATGTTGATGAACATATTATTTTTTAAAAGTATGTACACTTGATTTATATATATTTATAATAAAATAATCAATAATATTACTATAAAAAACTAAATTTGAATCATTGAGTGGTTTTTCTGAAATATTATTTTATTTGAAAGAAATTTATTTTAGAATATGAAAAAGGAATAAATAGTAAATGATTGGTGTTATTTGTATGGATACATAGTTAATTTCTAATAAAACCAATGATCTAAATATTTTTTTATACATCATGATTATATATTTAGTGGGTTCGAGTGTATAACATAATAAAAAATATTAAATAAAAAAAACTCATCTAACTTGTAAAGAATATGTTAAAGTCGATAGATTGAAATAAAACTATTACAAAATTGATTCTAATAAATTTTGATTGTATAAAGAAAAAAAAATAAAACACATAAATTCTATTTTTTTTAATTGATTGTTTAATTTTTTTTCAAAACAAGTTTGAGTCAAATTATCTGAAATATACTTTTAGTTTTTTAATACACATGCACGCATAATTATGCCACTCTCATTTTTAAAATCATAAGAATTAATCATATAAATTATAACAATATATATATATATATATATATATATATATATATATATATATTAAAAATAATAAAATAATCACGCTCTTAAATTTTATTTCAAAATCCATACAGAAAAAACATATTTTTTAACAAAAAAATTATAAATAAGAAAAATAAAAAATAATTTGATGATAATTTTCATAGAAAACGACAAAATAAATAAATAAAATTTAAACAATAAGAGTAATATAATTTGATAAATATACTTGATTTAAAATCTAAAAATATATTCTATATATTTCATTGTTGACAAACTGTGTGAAAAGCAAAAAAAAAAAAATAACAATTAATTTTTTACAATTTTCACACCCAATTTCATATTTTTTTTAAAAAAATTGAAAATAGATTGTTGAAAGAAAAAAGCAAAAAAATAAATAAATAAAAAGAAAAATCAAGCTAGGCCACACAAATTGCGATTTAAGATTTTAGTTTCTTATCGAGATTTAATATCCTACTAATTTAAATTTTAGGGCTACTTCTACAGGCTTGTGCCCTTGGGTTTAGAGAAGTAGGTCCACGCATTTGGGCTGGAGAAACAGGTCTGTATAACCAGTCTTTTGGAAAAAAATAAATAAATAAAATACAAACAAATAGACAATGCATCGTTCACCTGCAATTTTTGGCGAACTTGAGTTCGTAAAAAAGGTGATTGGAATTTTTGCCGAAAAATCGATGGTCCAATTTTAGACCTCCAAAATCTATTTTCAGCATTATTTTGCGCTCAAATACTTTAAAATCACTAAAATAAGTTCAATAAATTTATTTGAAATCTTTTAAAAAATTAATACACTTAAAAAAAAATTAAACCAAATCAAAAAATTAAATTTTTTTTAGCTTCGATTCATCTCTTCTAATCATTTTATGACTTAAAATCATAATAATTAAACTCTTTTTTCAAGAAAAATAATATGAACACGAAATTAGAGATAAAAGTGGTCGAAATTAGATTTGACGACAACTCTATCTCTCTCCTTTTTATATTTAGAAACCAAATTGTATTAAAAATAAAGTTGTAGATAAAAACAAAAAAAATTTTAAAAATACCAAAGACAAAAGTATAATATTTGGTATAACTTGTAAAACTGCCTGAAAATAGTGCAAAATTGAAAAAAATACCATGTGTTTAAATACGATGAACCTATCCCAAATTTTTTTTTCCTTTTTGTAATAATAATAATAATAATAATAACTAAGAGAATACTACGGTGTTTTTTCCACTTAAAAAATTATTGGATTCAAGGTTTTGCGCTCCGTATCCTCAAATTCAGCTGCTGTCATTAGTTTCACTTATTTTGAAATGTATTGTAATTACGTTAAGAGTATTTATAATTTTTAAATTTAAAAAGATACCATACAGAAGTATCTACAACTGATGTGTGGTCTTGGCTCTTTACATGATTAATAGGCATCTATACCTTGAATATTCTTTCAAATAACTCTCTTTCCAATATAGCTTACATATAACGAACTTTTATTTTCCGGATTTAAAAAATATTTTTAATTGCATATAAATATGACTAGTTGACGGAAGGTCCCATGCCCGCACTTGTTGAAATCACGCAAAAAGATTCTCTGAGTCATTTTTCAAATATGAAAGCAACAGTTTTGATGATTAAATATCTATAATTGTAAGACGGTGAAGATGGACTATATATATATATATATGTATGTATGTATGTATGTACAAGTATGTGTGTATCGTACTTCCTTTTCTCTTTCTTTTGGGATATTACCATCCATTCATTTTCTCCAAGATTTGTTTGTATCAACTTTCATTTTCAGCGTAGTTTTCTTAGGTTATATGCAAAGATCGTATAATTTTGTGGTTTTTGTCATACACTTTTTCCCATACCACTTGAACCCATATCACTCATTCAAGTGGTATGGCTTGTCCAAGGAACCCACCCAGAAGTCATGTTCTAAGCTGTCAAAAGGTTCGCATTTTACGAATAAAAAGACACGTTGGCCACGTTTCCTCCGTTGAGAGTAAGAGGTATAGGGTGAATGTATGATATGATGCATCCATCAGGTCGGCGTAATAGCTTTTTATTCGATTGCTCTCTCGTGGATCACTTGTCAACTTGCCATTGAATTTGGACCAATCACTTTTACGAGCATACATACTGCTCTACCATATGATTTCTTTACATGCGGATTTCAGGGGGTCTCTGACCATTTTCCACTACTTGATCGCCTTTTTATTCAAATTTTAAAACTTTTAAATGCTTTTGCAGTGAGTTTTTTAATTTTATGAACATTTTTTCTTGAGTAAATTATAATTTGGTTTATGCGGTCACCAAAAATGAATTGATTGGTCCAACTGGTTTGAATGTGTTTTTTATATATAATAACCCAGCATATTTTTTTCAATTCGTTATCATTAAGGTGTTGAGTTGTCATGAATTTAGTAATTTTTATTTTTAAGACACTCATTTTTTTTTAGTCAAAATTTTCAATTTCATTGTGATATTAAAGCACTAAAATGCTTTCACTTATTTTCCTCTAAAATTATAAATAACCTGCAACATTAACATTTCTCACAACGTTAGAGTGTCGAATTGTCACCAATTTTGCTGTTTTTCATTCTTTCTCAAATATCTGATTTTTCTAACCAAATTTCCCAATTTCACTTGTAACATTAAAGTAGCTAATTACATTTTTGGTTTACCAACTTGTCATTTTTTTTTAATTAAATGTGTGCTTTTTAATCTTTATTATTTGAATAGATCAAGTTGTAATTTTTTTTTATCAAGTGTTTTTTAACTCTCATTAGTTTTATGTTGACATGACCATTACTTATACATGTGAAGTCGATATACGGGCCATACTGTGGGTGTTTATTTGTATAAATTTGTCAAATTTTTCTATTTGAATGTATAGATTTTGATCTTTGCTATTTGAGCATACCAATTTGTATTATTTTTTATTTGAGTGGTTCTTCTAACTCAAGGCTAATCCGTTCGTTAACTACATATGTGACAGCGTAATATAGGCTCCATTATCAAATATTTATAAAAAATTACAAAAATGTATATTATTTAACAAATAAAGGTTTCAAAAAATAAATACTACTATAAAATAAGAACGAACGAACCAATAAATAAATATAATTAAACAAAAAAACTTTTCTAAACGAAATCTTGTCCAATGCGATTCAAGCCACCTTTCATTTCAAATTAAAATTAAATTTCATATCATCATTTTTTAAACAACCATAGATCTCGGGTTTTCTATTGAGAATAAAGATGAATCATTGTCTTGGTGAATGAACACAACTTAGTTTTTTTTTTTTAATCATTTCCTTGTATCTAGATATGTTTAAGTAATTTATTTGCTATTTTTTAAAACAAAATTCATTTTATATATGTAAATGCCATAAATATCTTATTTTTATTATTGTTATTTTTCATTTTTTTTTTTTTCTAATTGTCATATGTCTTGACGATTTTACGTGTCCAAGTTAACATAGACATCAATTTAGAGATAAATAAACCATTAAAATAGAAAAAAATATAAGTTGGTACACTTAAATAGTAGATATAAAAAATTATTCACTCAAATAGAAAAAATTGACAAGTTTATAAAAAAAAATTAATAATGAAGCTCACATATAGGTGTCACATGTGCGGTTAACGTCTATTTTAATGTAAAGTTAACAAAAAATAGTAGAAACACTTGATTAAAGAAAAATGCAATTTGGTCTAATAAAAAAAGAACACACTTGATTTGAAAAAAAAAAAAACAAGATGGTAAATTAAAAAAAAATTTAACTCACATTAAAAGCACTAAAATGTTTTCTTTTTCTTTTTTTGAAAATTCCAATTGTCCCATAAAAACAATGAATTGGATTGGGGAAGGGGGATTTAATCTACCTTTTAAGTTTTTTTTTCTTTCTTTTTTATGTTTATCCCATCCCTGTCGTTATTTTGTTGTTTATCTTTTTTTCCTCTTAACATTATCAAAACAACAAATTAAAACCCTAAGAACTTGGAATCAATTTAATTACCATCACAAGTTAATATACCTAATTACTTATAGTTAGGAGTATCATTGGACTAACTTTCTAACATCAAAACTAAAATATTAGCTCAAGACACCCTATCCGCGTTGAAATTAGGAGATTCACGATAATTTTACTTTTTACGAACTTAAATATTTGAAGGAATTTTAAAAAATCAGCATGATGGTAAAAAAGTAACAGGTAGGCATATTTTTAGCCACTATAACATTCAAACCTCGTATCATTCCAAAAAGTGAAGTTGTCATAAATTTCCTGGTTCTTAGATAGATTGTCCACCTCTTCTCAATATGTAAAAGCGGACCAATGACTATCTCCAGAAAAAATAAAGGAGGAGATATTTACCTGGTCTCTGATACAAATCTATAGAGATTCTGTTGCTTTTTTTTTCCTGGATCTCGTCATACTTCGTACTTGACTTTGAATTGTAGGAGCGTTTCCTAGCCCGCTAGCCTCGCCTACTACGGCCAGCAACTGACACCCGAAAATTAAAAAATCTTGGTAGGAAAATGCATTTTTTTTTCAACTCTCATGGACTAGGTTTAGAGGCTGTAAGATTCAATTTGATGGGATTTTGGTTGGAATGTATACGCGCCACCTGTAAAGTCGGTCATTTTAATTTCATGAGCTTTAAGACGTCCCCTTTGTTTTTTTTTTTGCTCAGTTTAAACAAGTTTGGTTATAATAAATGGTCTTCACTCTCATTCTACGTACCTTAAATTTACAAGAACGGATGAACTCGTGTGTGGAAACTATGTTAGTTAATATTGGTTCTTTGCAGTTTATATGTACTGATGGAATCTATTGGATCAGTAATGGATTTTCGATTTCCACCAAATAATGCAAACTAACCAGGATTTAATTTGTAGTGAAAAGTGTAAAGATGCTTGTCCAAGGGCTACGTGCCAACACAAACGGGGCCTCCGGTTATCATTTCAAACCAAGCCAGAGCTTGCGCATAGGGATGAAAACTGAAGGGACGGTTGTCCTAGTTAAGCATAATTTTGTAGCAATAATTCTGCCTTCATATTTCCACAGTCCTCGGTTGGACAAAGCCAACGACGAGTAGTAGAACTGTCGCCCTCAAACTGCCATTTCAAGTCCAATACCGGGCGATGGAGTCAGAAAATTAAAGCATAAGGTTTTAGCAGTAAGACTTCAAAATGATTTGTTGAGACCAAGGCAGCGACAAGAAGAAAAAGGCTGTGAATGGTCGATGCCATTTCCTGCTGTGACCGGCCATTCTAACATCTGACCTAATTCATGCAATCATTCAGATAATCTGCTTATAACCTTAGGATAAATAAATTATTAATTTAACTTGATAAGCAAGAACTAAGGGTACAGCAAACAGCTTTCATGGTATGTGACGGTCTTTTTCAAAAGTTGTAATCAACTTTCTATTTTCGTTAGTAGGAGGTCTTTTTAAATTACCATTCGAATAGTGAGTCTTTCCTAACCACACTAAACAAATTAGCAAGGGTGGTAAAGTTAGGTCATTTTAAATAACTACACTAGTTTGATTAGTATGGCCAATTGTGCTTCCACTTGTTACTTTCCTCTCAATAGCAGTGCTAACTAAATCTTAGCTAAAGTGCTTGATCAATTGATTCTTTGTCAAAAGAGGCATAAATCCACAATTTTAACACTTAATTGCAAGAAAAAATCCATGCTTAATGCCCCACTTATCTCCTTTTCTTACCACTCACCAATTTTGACGTGACGCATTGTTCAATCTAAAGCTATTGCGTCATGCTAGGAATATGACTAATTAAGCGTATGGATCGCGTCCAAATCCATAGAATGAATAACGAAGCGGAATAAGCAAGTGTGATTGTGACAACTATTTGATTTGGTGAATTACATTGACTAGTATAAATCCCAATAGACAATCCTATTTGGTGATGCTAACAATCTGGATCAGGACAGATTTGAGTGGCGGGTGGGACGTGGAATAGCTTGGCTTTTCCTTGTTGCCAATCTAAACCTGCAAGGAAGTTTCTCCCATAAAGTAAATTTACTGGAAACGACCTACTGTTGGATTTTGCTGGACTCGATTATCTTTTAGCTGATATTATCCCCTTGTGATTATAGGATGATGGCACCATCGATTTCCCCCAAGTATCACTTTTACCCCATCCCGGAAATTGGATCTTGACAGGAAGGTACAAGTGGGGTATAATACTTTAACCGAGAGAAATTTTGAGCACTGTAGAATGGAGAGAGAGGGAAGCCGCCAAATTTTTCACCAAATTACAGTAAGGCATTTGATAAATAAACAAAAGATACAAATGCGAGAAATTACAACCAGGGAGGGCAAAAGCACCAAACCAATAGAAAATTTTACTTCCCCACCTGCTAATTTACACCTCCTTAAAGGTATAAAAATTTAAGGACAAATGATTCAAGCTGAGGTTGATTCAGATGCAGCTGCTGCAGCTCGTTTCTTAGCAAAGTATTCTTCAGCACGAGCAAGGTTCTTAGCAACTGATGGTTTCACCCACTTCTTTCGGCCAGGCAATACGGTAAGAGAGCATCCAGCAGCCTCAAGTTTCTCCTTGGCTGCTGCTGAAAAGGCACGAGCTTTAATGTTCAGCTTCACACTTAGCTCTCCATCACCCAAAACCTAAATCCAAAAGAAAAAAAAAAGCATATCTCAAAGTTGACTGCTGGAAAACAATATTGTGATTTATGGCTCTCACATGCAATTGACCTAAAGCCGACCTCTTTCTTTTCTAAGAATTCAAGTGGAGTCTTTCATACTATGGCACGCAGCAGATTAGAGATGTCGACCACTGCAGCTTATAATTTCCATACACCAAAGATACTTGCAATATAGGATTTTCATAGCAATCTTTAAACTGCAGCAAGGAATGATAATGGCATCATTTTAGCTTGATTTTCTAGGGTAATCAAACATTTGCACAACACACTAAAAGAGAAACTATTAGCTCACTGAAGATAAAGGCCTCCTTTTTTGTTTGGATAAAACACATATACTAACGTGAAACAGGTCCATTCATCTAACCTTAACAGCAATTTTTTATTTTTCTACACCCACTATAAGAAGCACAGCACGTATCCCAAGTCCCAATTGGAGGCATCAGAACCAGATGCAAACAGCATGCAACTGTTTTTTCCACTATGCTGCCACTTCACAGAAAACCAAATATAAGAAATAGCGGATACTCAAAAATCAAAAAGGTGAATTCCGTTAGATATGGCTATATGCTGAACAATTTGGAGCTTCCAACCATATCAAAAGGATGACAGGCAAATCCTTCCAGGGAAAAAAAAATCATGGAATGATGAGTTTTGCTGGGCAAAAGAACATCTACAGAAAAAAAACTTTTCAATCTATAGTCTTGATGATTTCTTGGTGCTCTTTTATCTACTTTGTAAGGAATGAAAGGAATCAAAGATTCACAATTCCATTCAAGCAGACATGAGCGGCATTACTAGAAGTATCATGCAATCTGTTCACCTCAGACTTTAGATAAAGAAACATTTTCAGGAGGCACTCACAGATACTAGATTGTCCAAGTTTTGTTAAGTTTAAAACTTCTGCAGGAGGTACTCAAAGTATGCCATTATTTTTAGTCACCTAACAAATGATATTTCAGAATCTCTCACCAGTTGAATAGTAGGCCCAACAATATAAAGTTTGACCCAGGCATCTTTTCACTTTGACAATCATTGCAGATTGATTGTTTACCTAGCTGTGAATTCCTAAATTTATTTATTGACATATATTTATTTTTGATTTAGACAGACTCATGGATTGCATACAAAATCCAACAAAAGTAACGATGGGCTTATGACAAGGATAAACAGAACAGACACTTGAAACAAGAGGCTATATTACAATTTGTGAGAGGATTCGAAGATCACAGGAATTTGTGCACGGATATCACCTAAATCAAGAAAATATGTAAAGAATTCAAATATGCCAGTGAAAGTTTTGTAAGCAATCATAGATAGAACTATCCCACACCTTCAAAGGGAGTTTCCTTTCTCTTCCTGACGGGTTGATCAAACCTTTCTCCTTCAAAGTCTCTAGTGACACCTCCTCTCCCTCTTGGAATCCTGCTTCTGCTATGTCTTTTAAGTTCACAGGGACATATTTTGGCAACCCCGCATGCATACCTTTGAAAGAAACAGAAGCATACCACTGAGTTTATAAATATGAAAACACACACATCATTAAAACATGCAAGTTTTGCTGTACGGAGAAAAAAGAGTAAAAAAAGAAACAAGAATATTTCCTTTCAATTTCATGGTGTATACAGTGAATGTGAATCAAACTAAAAGGCAATAGAGGAATGACTTATTGGCCCTAAAACATTCCAAAAAACACAATTGATGTAAGCTGAATACTGTCAACCAAAACCTGAATCCTTCCTGATTCTCAAGTTGTGATACTTGGTTTAATTAAAAAGCATCACAAAAGCAGGGGCGACCCTGTATCTTAGATTCTTCACCACTTCAACAATTACAAGAAGTGTTTGAGAGAATTTCTTATTACGCCACACAAAATGGTAGCGAGATGCTCATTTAGTTTACCCACCATATATTGATCTCAGCATGGTAAAACCATGAATTTTCAAAGTCATGCGCAATTGACATTCATGGTGATGGAATCTTTTTGTTTATGTCTATGATAGCAAGATTAGATGTCATTAGAAAATTCCATCCATGGCATACAAGGTTAACCACTCTATCCAGGCCATTATATGGTCAACATAACCAAACAAAGGCCTTCAGAATTGAGTGTTCATTATTCTAAACTTAAATAAATGAAATGCTGGCTCAGTCTTTCTAGACGGATTCATTGGTGCATATGCACCTTCTAGAGAAAACTGTCAGCAAGAATTCAAAAAGAAATATTGAAGAATTAACATAAGGCAAAACCCACGAGGATAGGAAGAAACTTTTACACTATCTCAGAGTTCCATAGCAAATTCGGATTAAAGAGAAAACGATGTCAAAAGATGTACTCCAAGCTTGGAAGCAAATACAATTCATTAGGGAGATTCTCTCAGCTGTCATTCTACTGAAATTCAATTCCAGACACATACATGAATGAAAATTTTCCCATAACAATGAAAAAAAGTCGATCAAACGTTAAAAAAAGAAATTCATTAATAAGATGATTCTCCAAGTCCACAATTAATTAATGAGAAAAAAGAAAAAGAGTACCTCCAGCAATTCCACGCAATTTAGGGATACGGCGGTAAAGAGGCATTTGTCCACCCTCGAACCCTTTTCGAACACCAGGACCAGACCGAGATTTCTGGCCTCTCATACCAAATCCACAACTGTTTCCTTGTCCCGCGGAGATACCTCTTCCCTTTCTCTTTCCTTTCTTTCTCGACCCTGGTTGTGGGCCCAGATTGTCCAGCCTGAACCTCACTCCTGGAGATGTGGTAACCACAGAAGCTTCTGCTGCTTGGTTGATGATCACTAATGGTCTTTTGTTCTTAGAATGGAGTTTAAGACAAGTGAAGTTGCATGTCTTTGGCTTCAATCTTGTCAAGTTTCCCTGTCATAAGAAACAAGAAGAAAAATTAAACGAAGAATGAGGTTTTTTATACCATGAAAGGAGAGTTTTTGATTAATTTAAATACCTTGAATAGAGAAGAAGGGCAATGAAGTGACAGAAGAGAAGCTGCTGCCATTGCCATGGACTGAGTAGATGAAGATTGCGTGAGAGACTGTTTTCCCACGAATGGATAAGCCAAGCATCCATCTGTGTTCAATTCTAAACTACATGATTTCTTTCCCAGTCCAAATTAGTGAAGCCCATATCATGTGTAATGGAGAGTCCAATGATAATATGGGCCTGATATAGAAAACTCAAAGTTGCAGTCCCAAATTGGCCTATGATTTTTCATGTTGATTTTCACTGGGCCTAACATTGGCCTTGTAGATACTAATATTTTTGCAAACTCCATCTTCTACAAAATGAGTTGGGTAATCTAGCAAGTTTTCCAATTGCATAATACTTCAACTTGGAGGAGATTCCCACGAGGGCCAAAAATGAAACCGTTCTAAGTGATGTATAAGACTAATTTCTCCATATCATTTGGTTAGATTTTATATTTAAATATGAGCTAACATTCATATTTCATTAAATAAAAGAGTTGAATATATAGTTCAAAAACAATAATCGTTAAAAGCCATATTGAATTGTAATCCATTAAATTTATAGGTTATGATTTGTCTTAATTAATTAAATAGGTGTGATGTTTTATTTACTGTCGTAGGACTTGTTATATTTGGCCTTCTTAATAAGAGGGTCCATAAATGCTATTTTTTATTATTAAGACCTAGTCCCCTCTCGTGCCATTAATCCTAACTCTATAAACACATATTTATAAGCTTTATTTTTGTTTGCACTCTAGAAGATCAAATTGCTTTTTCAACATCATGACTATGCAAGGTTCGTAATTTATTATTACTAATATTCATTAATTGCGTGTTCTAGTTTCAAACATATAGATCCTTGAATTTAATAAAGCTTATAGTGGTATAAGACTATGTTCCGACCAGAACCCAATTAAATTGATTAAAAATAATTTTTGTGACAAATATTTTTATTGATTTATATGTTGCTATTTGTTTTGAACCGATCCAATTAAATTTGCTATGATACTTGCATACTTATTTATTTATTTATTTTAAGTTGGTATGGTTTGTTGTCTTATTCATCTATTAAACAATAAGATAAACAATAATAATAAACAAAATCAATTATGGACAATTGTCAGAGTGGGAGTTTTATGGGTTATTGTTAATGACATCATCAAAGTGGGATATTGGTAATAAATTATAAATTTCTCAATTAAGACAGATGGTTTTTTGCTACTTTAGAGTATAGCATTCAATGGTTCATCCAAAGAGAGTTATTGTGTGTATAACCTAAGCATAACAGGGGTAATTAGAAAGGATTTTAATGTAGATTTTAAGAAACATTTCTACCTAAATGTGATTAATTTTAATAAAGGGATAAATACATCTCGTGTTCTTTTACAATCTAATAATATCAATGTTAACCCCTCTACTTAGGTATAGTGTATAACAAATCTTATATTATTAGATGTTGAAACAAATCAATTATTCAATTAACTCTTTTTGTCAGAGATGGAGGAGTTAATATGGTATTATATTGTCCTTATTTTATTAATTACTAATATAAAAGATTATTTCAATTATTAGTTCTATTTTTTAAGCAATCAAATTTGCACTATTGAAACTTTGATTGAAATTAATTTCAAGAGATGGAGAAAAGATATTCAACTTGCCCTGAATTTAGCTTAAATTAATATTTCTTTACATAAGGATAAGTCATTTCTGCCTAATGATGAAAATAGAGTAGATAAGAAAGAAAAGTATAAAAAATGTGAGAAAGCCAATAGGTTGAGTTTGATGATTATGCAAAAGATACTCGGTGAATTTTTTAAGGGTGCTATGCTCAAGGAGGATAATGCTAAGAATTTCCTTGCTACGATGGGATAAAGGTATTTAAAGTTTGAAAAGGCCGAAGTTGGAGAATTGATGAAGCAACTGTCTAGTTCCAAATATGATGGGATATGTGGTGTTAGGGCATATATATCTTGAGGATGCAGGTCATAGCTAATAAACTCTTGAACCTTCAAAAATCCATTCTTGAGTCCTACCTTGTTTATAGGTTTTGAAATCCCTTCCTTCATACTTTGATCAATTGAAAACCACCTGTAATGTATTGTTGGTTAATGAAGAATTAATGAGCTTATTTATGTTTGTGTCCAAGAGGAAGAAAAAAATAAGGGTAAAGTAAGAGTGTAAAATTAGTGCATTAGCCATGTACTAATAAAGGTTCCATACACTATAATAGAACTTTTATGTCTACAAATTTCTGTAAGGATAATAAACAAAACCAACAGGCCTATTTCTTTCCATAATATTAGTGGTCCTGAGGGTGTGATTAAAAAAGCATCTAGTTGTTTGTTATTGTTGAGAAAATGGTCATAAGAAAATTGATTTTCCCGAGTTCAATTCTTGGTTAGAAAAGAAGAACAACAAAAGAGAAGTTCATAAGCAAACAAAAGCTAAGTAAAAATGATGTTAGAGTCTACATAGACAATAAAGTCTACGTTAAAGTTGATTTAATAGGATCTATTAGGTTGGATTTAAATCCAAATGTAGTTTAGTTCTCCAATAAACTGTTTATGTACTGTTCGTGAGACAGAATTTGGTTTCATTTTTAGTACTTGATATATTGAGATATTTTTTTTAATCCAGGTAATAGAGTTTTTGATATTTTACTAAATGCTTCTAATGTTACTAACAATTTTTTATTTGATGGGTTTTATAGGCTTGATTTGGTTAAGATTTTTTTTTTTTTAGAATGTTGAGCAAACATATGTTAAAAAAAAAAGAGTCTTTCATGTTATGGCATATACGTCTAAGTCATATATTTAAGGAAGAGTTGAAGGATCGGTCAAGAATGAGATTCTTTCTATTTTAAATTTTAGTGATTTTGAATTTTGTATTGATTGTATTAGGGGAAAATTAACCAAGTCTAATCGAAAAGTGACTATTCATAGTCAAAATCTTTTTGAGATAATACATACATATATTTGCAAACCTTTCTTCAATACTTTATATGAAAATAAATATTTCATCATATTTATTGAAGATCACTCGTAATATGAGTATGTTTATTTGATTCATAAAAGTTAGAAGCACTTCATAAGTTCAAAATATTTAAAATTGAAGCCGAAAAACAATTCAATAAAGATATTAAAACTATGAGATCACATCATGGTGGCCAGTATTATGGAAAACATGGAGATATTAGTCAACATGTAGGACCTTTTGCCAAATATTTATAAAGTTGTAGGATTGTTGTACAATATGCAATGCTTGGTATCTTTGAAAAAATAATGTGGTTGAGCATCGTAATTACACTTTTAATGATATGATTTGGTCTATGATGTTTACAAGTAAACCTTTAGGGTCCTTTTGAGGCAAAACTCTTAAAATTGCCATATATATATATCCTTAATAAAGTACCAAATAATATTTTTTTCAAAATTCCTTATGAATTATGGATGAATATAAAACCTAGTTTGAACTATTTTAAGGTTTGGAGTTGTTTTGTTGAAGCTAAAATTTACAATCCTTTTGAAAAAAATAAAAAATAAAATAAAGATCCCGAAACTTCTTCTTTTTCTTCTTCTTCTTCTTTTTTTTTTTTACTTGATTAGGTATCCTAAAAAATCTAAAGGTTATATATTCTATTATTCTAATAGCAACACAAGGATTGTTGAATATGTTAATGCCAAATATCTAGAGTATGGTGTAGGTGATTGTAATTGTTTTTGTGATAATAGAGAATCTATAATGTATGAATCAACTATTATTTCCATCCCTTTTGTAAGAGAAATTTTTTTTTATTAGCTTGTAGAATAAGTTGAAATGAATGTTGATCCACTAACTTTTATTGATCTATCTATTATAGATCCTTAACCTATTGAAATTGTTAAACGTAACGACATTGTTGTTGTAAGAAGATCTCAAAGAAATAGAAGGCCAACTTTGTCTAATGATTATGTTGTATTCTTTTAAGGTGAAATATATTATGATATTGGAGAAAAAGTTGATCCTATCATATACTCTCAAAGTATTAATAATATAAAATATGATAAATAAGTTGGTGAAATGAATGATGAAATGAAATCCATGTCCGATAATAGAGTGTGGAAATTAGTAGAATTTCGTAAAGTTTTAAAATCATCACTTTTAAATGAGTATTTAAAACTAAAAAGAATTCTAGAGGACATGTTAAGAGTTTTAATGCAAGGTTTGCTAAGAGATATACTAAAAGGGAAAGAATGGATTATATACAAACTTTCCGATGCGTGCTAAATGCACCATATTTAATTTACTATTTTTATCAAAATTTAAAATGAGGGCAAGTCCAAGTCAAACACTAGATACTAATCAATCAATTCTATTATATCTAAAAACTAAAAGGGGTTATTTGTGTGCAAAGTAGACATTAAAAGTAATTCATAATCAAGGAAGGAAAATTCAATTTAAGAAAAATTTAGTTCAAGAAAAAATTCAAACATTCAACTTATAGATTAATCATCGACTCCTAAATTATTATTCCTTTATTGAACATTTAGCCTAAAGTTACCTACATGCTAGAATAAATCCAAATCTTTCCTAAATTTATTAACTTAAAACTTCACATCCGAATTGAATTCTTATTATTGATAGATTTCGATACCGATGTAATCCTAGTCTAATCAACAACAATATTAAGAATTATTAAGATAGGTAAGATTGAACAACAATTTTAAGATGTCTAAATCTTTTAATCCATTATTTTATTTCCTATAGGTAATAAAACATAATTTTCTACTTGTATTGACTTTTCTTAACAATTACGGATTAAGATAATTAGCTAACTATCAATCACAATAACACAATCAACTACTTCACCATCTAAGACAATTACCTATGCAATTATGATTAATTAAATTCAAAGATAAATCAATTAAGTTTAGAGAAACAAAATATATTCAAATTATAAAGAATAATTTAAAGATCAAACCCGTGTCTTATAATCTTTTGCAAAATAAAGTTGAAATCCCTTTAATTGAATTAAGGAAATTAGCTAGACATTATTTGAAGCAATAAATCCTAAATTATATAAAAAATCATATCTCTAATATAAAGCCTTAAAGCAATTTATACATGCTAAGAGATAAATATGATAGCTAACAAAGTCCTAATTAAGCTAGTTTTCAAAATTAACTAGTACTTGTTACTCGAATAAGACTCTAGGTTATGTGTTAAAACTTCTGAATTAATTTTGGTTTGAAGGTGGTAGAATTTGAACTCGGGATCTGCATAAGGATTGTAGGCATAGATGCCTTCTTTCTTTAGGATTTTGAATCATCTTAATACAATATGTATAACTCCGGATATCGTCTAAACACTAGATAGTGTTTTGGATTGTCACAAAATTCGAATTTCTTTTAGATTTCTTCCTTAACTTTACGAGTCGACTTTACTAGCCTAAAACAGAATGGATTTATGTAGTTAAACACAATCTAAAAAGCTTAAGATGTCCACTTTGATTCTCAAGAAGACCTCTTTTACCTTCTAGAGCTTTAAGGATGTGTAATTCCCATTTGTTCCTCTAAAGGCTAATCTAGCAGTATTGGAATTTGCTCAAATTAACACACTTTTGCTCATTTGACTCCAATCAACTCATAAATTACAAAATAAACTTAATTCAGCATATATAATCTAAAATCACATTCGGAAGACTAAATATAAGTGAATAAATATTATCAATAATGTTTGCTATCACTTTCTCACTTTTTTTAATTCTTTTAATATTATTATGACTTTAACTCGTGTACTTCAATTTGAAGTTTCATCAAAGGGATGTGAAAATGACTTTCTTTAATTGAGATTTTTTTTGGAAAAGATGTGTATGTAACAACTCTGAAGGATTTCGGAATGTTAGGAAGGAACATATAGTATGTCAATTTAAAAAGTCAATATATGAACTCAAACAAGTATTTAGCTAGATAATGGTACCATTAAGCGATGCAATATTTTAGTTTTATGGAGAACACACTTGATCCTTGTGTATATCTCAAGATTAGTGAAAGAAAGTTTATTTTTTTATTCTTTATTTTAATGATATATTAATCACTAGTAGTGATTTGATTGCTTTATGACACAAAGAGAATGTTGTCTAAGATATTTGATATGAAAGATCTTGAAATGGCATCATATGTTTTAGACATAGAGATTTTTAAAGATAGATATCGGAGACTATTGAGTCTTTTAAGGCATATATTGATAAAATGCTTAGTATATTTAATATACGAGATTTTGAGCATGTCAATGCATCTATATGTAAATGAGATCAATTAAGCGAGAGATCAATATTGTAGAAATGATGTAGAAAGGGAATAAAAAAAATACCATATTCTAGCATTGTTAGTAGTATGATGTATGGTGACATTTGCAAAATACACGATATAGCCTATGCGAGTTGGTGCGTTTGGAAGATATTTTCTAAACTTAGGAATGGTCATTAAGTGGTTGCAAAGAAGGTTATGCGATATTTACATTTAACTAAGGATCACTTATTTGTCTACAAAAAAATGGATGATTTACAAATCATTGGTTACACTTATGCAGTTTTGATTGTTTAGATGATAAAAAATTAATTGGATATATATTTTAATATTGGCTATAGGTATTATTTTATGGAAGAGTTCTAGACAATCGTTTGTTGTATCTTCCATTATACAAGTTTAAATAGTGGCTTGTTATAAAGTGGGAGTACATGCTAAGTGGCTGAAAAAAATTTATTTTAGGATTTATGGTTGTTGATTCGATTTCAAAATCCATCATGAGAATTTTTTATGATAATATTATTGTTGTTAATTCCTCTAAAATCACTAAGAATTCGATGGTGCAAAATACATATATCTCAAGTATTATACGGTAAGAGAAAAACATTAGCATTGAGTTATCATAGAGGTTATGGTTTCTAATCCACTAACCAATGGGCTTAGACTTGTTAATTTTCTTAAATAAGTTGAAAGCATGGGTATTTGTTTTTATGTAATTGGTTAGTGATACTTTATTTTATTTATATGACTATGTATCAAACTTTGAATTTCATGTAATTAAATTATTTAGTTATTGTTTATGCTTAATGATTGGTAAAATTAATTGTGTTTGCACATGCCATTGAGATATTTGAATATTTTATATAAGATTATGCATGAATCTTATATATGGTATATATTCATATAAATAATGTCTAATGTTTTGCATTGAGACAACATGGCATAGTCCAGAGATTTTAATATTATGGTTATTTTACAAAGCATATTTTATTTAACTTTGGTATAGAAGTGTGGTTCCTTATGGAATTGTGTTATGGTCTATTAAGACTTGGAGGATTAATGTGGAATTAGTATGCCATACTTATTTTTGGATCATTGTGCTGACCTTTCACACTATACCGTGTCGCACCATGGGGTTAATGTCATTAGGTTATTAATATTTGTGGTCATATGCGATCTTATGTTGATAAAAGTGTAATGAGTATTATGGTATAATATTAATAATACAATGGATTGAATCTTGAATTGAGATGTTGATTATCCGAACTATATATTTATGGAGCTACTTAAGTTATCTCAACCTAATAGTTGTTTTATAAATTGAAAAATTTTCTCTTAAGTAAGAGAACATTAAATTTTATATTTAAATATGAGCTAACATTAATTATGGATTTTATATTTTAATAAACAAAATAGTTGAATATATGGTTTAGAGACAATAGCCGATTAGGCCAATGGTTGAATTATGATCCATTAAATTTATAGACTATGGTTTGCCTCAATTAATTAAATCGGTGTGATGTTTTTTTTAATTAATTTTAGAGCCTATTATATTTGAACTCCTTGATGAGAGGGTCCATAAGTGTTATATTATTATTAGGGTGTGGTCTTTCACATCTTGACCTTAACTCTATAAATACATATTTATAGGTGGTAGTTTTCCCTATTATAAACTATGCTTATGTTTTCTAGAGAATAAGGGGAGGACCTTGATTCCTGAATTATCTCTATATTCTTATTTGTGTCATTGAAGATCAAATTGCTTTTTTTTGACATCATGATTATACAGTCTATGTAATTTATTATTTGCTATTATTCATTAATTGTGTGTTTTACTTTCTACGATATAGATCCTTGAATTTCATAAATCTTATACATTTAACTTGCATTTAATTTATTTATCCTTTAGAATTTTGGAGGCTAATCTTGTTGATTACTTCATTTGTTATTTATATTATCATTCCAAAATTTGAATCTTAAAAACAAAGTGAATGCATATATATATATATATATATATATATATATATATATATATATATATATATTGTTGGGTATATGCTTAAGATCCAACGTAACCAATAAAGAAATAGATTAAGAAAAAGATTGAAGTAGAAAAATAAATTAAACAAAAAAAAGTTATTGATCAAGAAAATAATTGAAGTTAATAGAAAAAGAACTATTGTAAAACTACAAAAAAACAAAAGTTTCTTTTTTTGTTTTGTTTTCATGTTTAGCTGAGACATGTATATAAAAAAAGATTTTTTTGGAAAGAAAGCATGGATTTTTGGGGTACAAAATATTGGCATTTTCTTTAACATTGATTTTTGAGTAATATAATTACTCACAATTGTAGCATTCAAGGTGGTGACCTTACACGGTATTAAACTTTGCAAAAACATGAAAAATTAGTAAATTTCAGATTTTATGGTGAAATGTATTTAGTTAGAGTGATAACTTAATAACTTGTATTACTCGTTAATATTTTTAATTCTCAAGATTATGGTAATTATTTCAAAGTTAGTCTTATGATTTGTTTTTCTCTAGGATAAAGAGTGTTTTCCACATAAATTTTTTTTTCTTATGATTGTACTCTTGTAATTGACTTATTTTCTATTCTTGATTATTGTGTGTTTGGTTAAATTATTTTCTCACGAAACTTAATTTATATTGAATAGAACAAAAATCCCTATATATATATATATATATATATATATATATGTAAAAAGAAAAAGAGAAAAAAAGAAGAAAAAGAAGGAGGAATATGATGCTTTATGGCAAGTTTAAGGAAGAGTTTGAGTGACAATGTCGATCACTTATAAGTTGGCCAGTAACAGGCCCTTGACAGAGAGAGAGAACCTAGGAAGGCCACCGGATCCAAAAGCATAAGGACATGCATATCTACTTAGATTTGAGAAAAATCTGCTTTAGAATCTTTGAATAAAAACAAAAATGCTCGAAATCACTAGACAATTTTTCAATCACAGAAAGAAAGGTCATCAGCTTGCCCCATGAACAAAATTTTTATTTTGGTAAGTGCAGTCTCTAGTGCCACTCGAGAGCCATGCACCACAGTCTTATGCATTCTGGGTCCAAACAGTCGTCGCTGCCAGCCTAATGGTCAGTGAAATAAACCATTGCTGCTACGAGAGAATAATTCAGCTTTCAGAGTTCTGTAATAGCGAAAACAGTGGTGCCCTTGTTTTCCTCCTAATTATTCACATAAAGAAGACTACTATCTGGAAGAGGAAGCCAGCTGTATTTCCCTGATAACCCACAAAGCACATAACTGGTAATCTTTTTCAAGCAAATAAAATCTCGTGGGATTGGTTTATTTCTTTTGGTGTTTGAGGGAGAGTGAAATAAAGATTTTTTTTTGTTCAAAAGGAAGAATGACTATCCATGGATTTTAGAGCTTTGAAAGAGTTGAAACGAGAAAGACTTGCTTCCTTAAACAAGGACCAATAGTTGTTTTTCTTTCACAAATTGATACCAAATTAATTATATGTTTGATGAATCCCCTGAATTTGATTCCTTAAAAAGATCATATTTATGGAGGCTTTACACTCCCAAGACCTTTTTTATTTTTGGGGTTTTTTTTTAAGACTAAATTGAAAAATATCTTAATTATTTAAGACCCGAAAATTACTTAAAACACGAGCTAATAAAATAATCTTTATGGGTTTATTTTTTTATCTTTATAATAGTAAATTTAAATATAAAAAATTATATAATATTTTTTTAAAAAAAATTAGTAACTTTTTAAACTTTTAAATAGTATTTATAATTTTATATTAGTTCAAAAGAATATATTTTAATTTATTTTTATTTTTTCCAGATATACATGTTCGGTCTTTCTCCCTAAATACTGAAAAAAAAAATGAAAATGGAAGGTGAAAATAAAAATATTTTTTTATAATATTTTTTTTCGAATGTCAATATAGTTGTTAAAATTTTAAATGGTATTTATAATTTTATAATATCTCAAAATAATCTATTATAATTTATTTATTTTCATTTACAAATTTTTTAATTTGACTCAAAAGTGAAAATATAAATTTTGTTAATTTTTTTAAATATTTACACAAAAGTGATTAAAAGACGAGATATATTTTTCACCTTTTTTTTTTAAAAAAATTTATTTAAAATAAAAGAATGAGATTAAAAAAAAAGTTGATATATGTCGCAATTCTATATACTAACCATTTAACATTGTTAGCTCAAAAGATTATCAAAATATAAGATTAAAATAGAAACTAAACATAAACATAAATGGAAACGATAAAAATGAAAAATAAAAAAAATAAAAAAATCCCTCCAATCATTAAACCAAAAGTAAATTTGAAACCACGAAAATACCGAAAGAGGAAGTCCAAGTTCAATGGGAACCAAGGAAGATGGCACTAAGAGGGGAAAAAAGCCCCGAGAAGACCGAAACATTTTGTTTGCCTATCGAAGAGGTCGTGCAAATTATTCTTTGTCTAACAGAAGAATCTGTAGCCAATGGCAGAGTTAGGAATTTAAATTTGGAAGGTCCATATTGAGCATATTTAGATCCAAAATCATTTACAGATTAGAATCGTATATAAAAACTATAGATTATGGACTAGTATGTTATTTTTTTTTCAGAAAAGTAATTATTAATTTATAAAAAACTAAACTTACGTACAATAATTATTAAACAACAATGGGGGATTTTATTTGAGGGGTGGAGGGTGGGCGGGGTCTGCAGGCATGGTTCTTACAACAATCATTACTCCTCACATGAATAATGGAAGTTTTCCTAAGCAAATTAAGTTATATATCTACATATATATAATTTCTAACACAATTTACAACAAATCAAAATTGATGCTAGAAATGCCAGAGATATGATTAAAAGAATGCAAAGAGGGTTTTGACTACCCCCTAACTGGGTTTTACTTTTTTTTTTTTAAACTTAATTGGATTCCGAATTTAATTGGTTTATTTTCTTACTTGAACGGATCTTCTTTAATCATGAGTTAAATCCACCTATTTTGTGAATGGTCATATTCCCTTCGTATTCTTTCTATAAAACATGAATATAGAAGTAAGATATATATGAATATGTTATTATAATATAGATATGACAATATAATATTATTTTAAAAAAATTTAGGACATAACACATGATCATTACCTTAAATTTATTTAATATTTCATATTTTATATAAACTTATTCTGATAATAAATAAAAAATAACACCTAAAAATTCTATAAAACCAATAATGATACACAATCACATTAAATATAAAAAGTTATGAAAAAAAAATAGCCATCATGTTATCTGCACTTGATTTACAATATTTACAAATTAATTTTTAGATCTATAAAAATAAATCATTTTGATAATGATTATGAAAGGGTCAAATGACAGTTCCATATCTTTTCAAATTTAAACATCCCACTTTTAATTCTTTTTTAATGATAAAAATAGATAAAATTTTAATCTAAAAATAAAATATCGTGTTTCTTGTTTTGAAATAAAATAAAATCTAAAAATATAATATTTTCCCTCTTTTCTTCTATATTCTCTTATGAGAACAATGGTCATTTATCACAACATTCACATAAAATTATAAAAACTAATAAAAAAAATCAAGTAAAATTTTAGTTAAATGTTTAAGTTTTTTAAATCCTAAAATTAGGATTGTATTTGGAATTTTTTTTCTTTTCAAATAAAACTACAACTTCAACCACAATACATATTTGAGTAGTATCTTTAATATTCTAGCTGTATTTTACACACATCCAAACTCTATACAAATGACTCAAATTTAAATTTATTTGATCTATAATCTATCGGTATTGAGTAAGATTGTAAATGAATTACATTGAGCTAGCTAAGTCGAGTTTTGATGCGTTCGAGTTTAGTTCCTCTAATTTTAATGAGATTCAAGTCTATATGTACTTATGACAATTTTAAAACATGAAATTCAAACAAAATTCAAACATAACTCAAGCTCAACTCATTTATATTGTTGATGATTCATTCTATAAATGAATTCGAAACACTTCTCATATTTATCAAATTATAAGCTAGCAATTGGAATAAAAAGTTTTTGGAATATAATAATAGATAGGAAACTAAATGATATAAAATCAACTTATTTTACAAGAACTAATTATATGAGAATTTCCCCAAATCTCACATATATATAAACTTTCATTTAAGCTTAGTCCTGAGCTGGTAACCATTACAATTCTTAATTGTTGTCGATCTACAATTTTACTCATTGTTTGTATTGTCAACCCTTTGTCACAGTTCTTAATTTCCGATAATAAACTAAGACTTGCACGTGATAGTCACACGATTCACCTTTTGGAAGACACGTGCCATGATCTTGTTGGATCATATATATATATAGGATTCCGTTTATTTATAAGCTGATTTCTGTCGGAGGTATATAGTATTGCAGACCGAAGATAGGGAAAAGGACTAAATCAGGAAATTCAAAAGTTGGGGAATAACTAAGTTCTTGTTAACGCAACGTTCAAGAGCTTGGACCAATTGGCCTTTTTGAACAATTGAACTCGAAATGTGCAATTAATTTTTTGGTTCATTGATAGGTAGAAAAGGTCTTGCGTTACAAATGGAAGAAAGTTCTACTAATTGGAATTGAAGAAACGAGATCGCTTATTGAAGTTCAAACTTACTTTATCAAATTTTAATAAAGTTATCACATATTTAAATCTGTAATTAATTGACAAGGTTTGATCAGTAACCTCTTTAACCACCAGCTAATTTATTACTATGGCATCAATTATTATTTTTCTTGTCTAATTTATTACTATATATTCGAAAATATTGAATAAAATTAGAATGTTCATCATGAGGGGAAGTAATCCACTACCGGATAAATGTAATTTAGCGACGGATAAATTAAAAAAAACCGTTGCTAAAACGTTTTAGCAACGGTCAAGAAACCGTCGCTAAAAAGGTTGTCGGTCTTTTTTAGCGACGGTCCGGATCGTTGTACAATTAGCGACGATCCAAAACGTTGCTATTACGTCGCTAAATGTCGATGTAAACGAGTTATGACATTAGCGACGGTCTTATAAACCCTTGGTATGATCGTTGCTAAATAGCGACGGATTAGCGACGGTCTTGACCGTGCTAAATTGTTGGCAACGGTCAATTTGGCAACGGTACGAACCGTTTCTAAGACCGTCGCTAATTTAAAAAATAAATTTATTTAAAACAATAATAAAATGAGGTAAAAGTAACAATTTTAAAGTAGCAAAAATCTCGTAAAATCTCGTAAACGTAAATTTTAATTATTCAAAATGTATTAAAACGTCGCTAAATAATTACATTATTGTTAAATAAAAAAATAGTACATCGATTGTAGTTAATACAAGAAAACAGAAAATCTAAAATAAGTTAATGTCCGGGATCAGTCGGAGGGTGGATGGAGTCGTCCGGAGGCCGGGTCGAGTCGTTGTTGGTCTCGGGAACGACGGATGAACTACCACCATGCTCAAAATGCCGCATGAACATCCGCTGCATCCGTGACATCATCGTAAACCGCTCTCGACTATTGTTTCTCAACTCGATTGTGGTATCCAACAACGATGCCACTTGGCCCTATAAGTCGTTCACGGTACCCTCTAAGTTATAGATGTGCGTTGTGTTTGTAGATGTTTGCTCTCGTAATTTCTTCAATCGTGCCTCGTCGATTGTATTGAATGCGGAAGTAGCAAAAGATGAGCCTACATTGACGAGTTGAATAATAGTGAGATGCATGTGAGCCGAGTCCGTACATCCTCTTCCTCCTACTATCTCCTCCACCAATGGCCCTTTGAAAGATGTCATTAATGTCGGGTGCGGTCGCTTCGGTCCCTCCCGATCGTCGACTAGCAACTTCTTCCTCATTAATTAATCTTTGTACGATCTCTCGTATAATTATGAAACACGTCACATCAAATACGGTTGTCAAATAACGTTATTAACTAACGGATATTAAATAATGTTTCAAAGTTATCACTTACTTCGATAACCCTCGACCATTGATCGACGAAGACTAACCGATCATTAACCTTTCTCTGATGAGTCCTCAAGAAAACCTCGTGAGGATCGGGTTCACGACCTAACACATTACGCCGAAAACATATATAAATAAATGTAAATGTATTAAATATAGTCGGATGTTTAATTAATTATTTTTGATTTTATTTTTTAAAAAAATTATAAATAAATTAAATAATATATATTTTTTACCATGCGTATGGCGTGCTCTTTATGATCGATTGATCCCTCCGTATGTCTAGAAGGACCGGTTTCGACTCCACCGAGTCTCGCTCCTACGGTTCCGTGTCTGCCATCTCGGATCGAGCAACGGCCTCGGGTTTCGTCCATTCCGTAGTCCATGCATCCCATATTTTCTATGAGATATATGCCGGCTTCGTTTTTTCCTTAGACGACAAAAGAAGTCGAATATCGCTTCCGTGCGAGACTTTCTCATGCTTTCTTAACTATGCTCTCGTTCAAATCATCATCCCATTTAAATGATTTACGCAAAAAAATAATAAACACTACTAACTTTACTTTCATATTATTTTATACAATTTAATTAAATATTAAATAATATAATTAATCAAATAAAATTTAGAAATTAAAACCTTAAATTCTTCCCGGTAAAAATCTTTTGTCTATGAAGTCATTTTTTTCCACATCCATCCCGAAGAATGAACGTACTCTTGGAATGTCTTAACGATCGAGCGAGAGCAAACATCGGAGGGATACAACCTATAAAAAAATAAACATTAATTAAATTCATAAATAACGGTAATCAAAATTTTTTTTAATTAAATTAAGCATAAACCATACTCATTGCGCTCAACGACAATGACCCGTACTCGATGGTCAACCACGGATGTTAGTGGTTACGAAGCCGATTGACGTGGGACATTGTGGGGTGGAACGTGTTGAGGAACGAAACGATTGTCTCGATGTGATGACGAAGGCACGACGATGATGACGGAAAAGATGAGGGAGGTTGACGTGGAGGTTTAAAAGGCTGCAGGCCGAGACATGACAGGCATGGAACGGGATGTGAAGGGGCCACGGAAGAGTGGTACGGAGGCATGTCCGGTGGGGGATCTATCCGACCAGTGAGCAAAATAAGAAGGGTGTCTACGACGTCCACGATCACGGTCGGACCGATCGGTATCCGAACCACGACCCCTACCTCGAGTCATTATGACCTACATATTAATTATTAAAGTCAATAGTTGTTAAATAAAATATGAATTATATAATGCATATATACTTACATATAACATTCAAATTAATATGAACTAATTGATTTATACTAAATAACAATAAATCATAAATATTTATTTAATTAAATCTTACCTTTAAAAATTATATGCTAACTATGTAGGTAAACATACGAATAAACCTAATTTTTTCCTAAAATTATGACGAGAACATGGACGGTACTCGAGATTTATTAAAATAGTTTAAAAAATTACACTTGGGGGACAAAACCAGCCTATCCCAACATCTCGGGAGGACAAGGTTGCCTAGACCCTTAAATTCGAACAACAATTACATAAAATCCAAGTGCATAATTTATGAATTGAATAAAAAATACAATATAACATAATACAATGGGATATATCATATTATCTCTAATCACTATCATTATAATCATTTTCACATTCTTCATCTAAGTCTTCTTCAACATCGGTTTCTAACTCGATTCATTCGAATATCTACTTCATCATCGTCCAATTCTAATAATGCTCAAGTAGGATCAATCAATGAGTCGACCTTCATCATCATCAATGTGCATGACATTGTGTTAACCTTCTATTTCATTTTCTTGAAAGGGTTCGATATTGGTTTGATCAACGGTAACGGACATTTCGGCACATCAATCGTAGGCTTTGGTTTAACCTTACATATCGTCAACCAATCTTGTCGTATGCTTTTACATGTAGGATATGTTACATAATACACACGATGCGCTTGTGATCCTAGTATGAATGGATCGGATCTATTTGAATACCTACTACTAAAAACCTCGACTAGTCCATAATGATCATGAACTCGTGTACCGGTACCGAGTGTTGTATCATACCAATCACATTTGAATAAAGCTTGTTTTGTTATGGATACTCAAGTTCGAGTATGTCAATCAACCTACCGTAGTAGTCATTTTCCACCTCATCGTAGTTAACTCCTTTAACACACACTCCACTACACATTGATGCTCTCTCCGAACCACCAACATCGGTATGAAACTTATATCCATTTATAATGTACCTCGCATACGACTTCTCGATTCGTAATGGTCCTTTGACCAAATCTTTAATATAATGATATGTTATAGTTTTAGGTTGTGCTCGACTTGCTCGTATGTAAGGACCAAGTTACTTATAAGGTAATGTAATAATAAAATTTTATAAAATAAATTTATGAATATTTAATAACAATCTTGACGAGCATGAATACTCACATATCGATGGAACCATGATGCAAATTGGTTTTGAAGTCGAAAATCAACCTCGTTTTTCGATATGTCGAGGTCACTTTCATAAAGTTGATCGATAAAATATACGACGATAAAAATATTGTTATTATATGTTCTTAAATTGAATGGTTGTTAATGAATAAATGTATAATAATAATATTTGATAGTAATAAAACTTACTCCGTGTACGGTGTCACCTCATCACGGTTCAATAGAATGTAAGTGTGCGCTGCATTCTTTTCTTGATATGTCGGGACATGTGATCGTGCTCGACCAAGAGGTCTACCTTTAGGAATGAATATTGCTAACATGTCTTCAATATTTTCATTCGGTTTTAGATCACGATCAAAGTTTCTAGGTACTTTTCGATGCCTAGTGTGTACATGAGGCTCGAAGTAATATGAACAGAACATTGAAGCTTCCTCGACTAAATATGTATTGCATATTGACCCTTCAACTACGGCTTTGCTCTTAACATTATTTTTTAATTTGCGAAGGTACCTACAATAATATTGTGAGTTCATTAGACTTAATCAATATTTGATAGAGTTATAAACTTATGTATGTCCATTAAAATCATTAATTTATACCTTTCAAATGGATACATCCATCGATATTGTACGAGTTCGACTATTTTTGCTTCATATGCCAAGTGTATGGGAAGATGCTCCATTGAGTCGAAAAAACTTGATGGAAAAATACGCTCTAATTTGCACAAGATTATTAGTATATTTTCGTCAAGATGGATCATATCTTCAACCTTAATCACGGTAGATGTTATTTCCTTAAAGAATAAGCTAAGCTCGGTGAGTGATTGCCATATATTTGTTGGTAACATATCACGAAATGCAATAGGTATTAGCCTTTGCATAAATACATGACAATCATGACTTTTCATGCCACGTAATCCGAGGTTATTCATATCCACACACCTTGCCAAGTTTGAGATGTATCCGTTCGAAAACTTTAGTTGTTTAATCCATTCAAGTAATTGTATTTTTTGTTGTTTGTCTAGAGTATAACGGGGTTTTGGGTATTTTCTAGAGTTTTCATCTATTTCTAATTCGGGCCATTGACAATATAGCTTTAAGTCTTCTCTTGAATTTGCATTGTCTTTTGTTTTTCCCGGACATTCATAATTGTATTAAACACATTGTCGAAGAT